TCATCATAAATCCCATACCTTAACACAGACGCATGACAGTTGTATAAGGTCATCATAAAATCCCATACCTTAACACAGACTTATGACAGTTGTAGCACTAAGGTGATCATAAATCCCATACCTTAACACAGACTTATGACAGTTGTAGCCTAAGGTCATCATAAATCCCATACCTTAACACAGACGTGACAGTTGTAGCTTAAGGTCATCATAAATCCCATACCTTAACACAGACTTATGACAGTTGTAGCTAAGGTGATCATAAATCCCATACCTTAACACAGACTTATGACAGTTGTAGCTAAGGTGATCATAAATCCCATACCTTAACACAGACTTATGACAGTTGTAGCCTAAGGTCATCATAAATCCCATACCTTAACACAGACTTATGACAGTTGTAGCTAAAGGTGATCATAAATCCCATACCTTAACACAGACTTATGACAGTTGTAGCTAAAGGTCATCATAAATCCCATACCTTAACACAGACTTATGACAGTTGTAGCTAAGGTGATCATAAATCCCATACCTTAACACAGACTTATGACAGTTGTAGCTTAAGGTGATCATAAATCCCATACCTTAACACAGACTTATGACAGTTGTAGCGCTAAGGTGATCATAAATCCCATACCTTAACACAGACTTATGACAGTTGTAGCGCTAAGGTCATCATAAATCCCATACCTTAACACAGACTTATGACAGTTGTAGCGCTAAGGTGATCATAAATCCCATACCTTAACACAGACTTATGACAGTTGTAGCGCTAAGGTCATCATAAATCCCATACCTTAACACAGACTTATGACAGTTGTAGCGCTAAGGTCATCATAAATCCCATACCTTAACACAGACTTATGACAGTTGTAGCGCTAAGGCTGCTTTGTACAATGGCATCCTGGTCCTGACAAGCAGGGTTGCAATGTTTACCTTATGTCTACACAAGGCATTTCCATAAACAGCTTCTAAAAGGTAGCACCTCGGTGTGTCAGTCTGCTTTTCAAAAACAAACGTAACCGTAACAATGTAAATATCAACGTGGATACACAGTCATTGACATTTCAGCAGACATCTTGGACATGTCACCATTGAAAACATGGAACTGATTCTCCCTTGTTTCAAATAAAGCTCGTACAGATACAACACTGTTTCAATGTCAAAGACAAAGACCACAAAGTTTCATGTTACGTCCAGTAGCATAATAGTTTTTCCAGCAGATTGATTGATAGATTGTTGTATAATGCTGCACTCAGCAATATTCCTGCTATAAGGCAGCCGTCTGTAAATAATCAAGTTTGGACTAAACAATCCTGTGATCAATAGCATGAACATCAATCTACGCAGTTGGGATACGATGACAAGTGTTTTTCCAACAGAACAGTCATCAGTGAGTGGTAACAATGCTTCAGACTTAAAACATTACATAATGGGAGTAGAATTCTTTGTGCGCAGGATTATTGTGAACATCTACAGAATTTAAGTTTGTTATATATTCACAGCTGATTCAGCATGGCTTCTATTACTGAACATTTCAGTCACAGAGATTCCTCAATTCTAGATTACAAAAGAGGGCTCCAGATAAGGGTCGTATCGGCGTATGTACGGATATAAAATAAGCATGATACGGTAGGAAATAATTTAGAAAACGTAGCAGATACGCACCACAGCAATTGTGTACGGCCTTAGAATCCTTTATAGACGTATTTATCTGAAAATGTATTGTTTTATTGATTATTGTAATGTTGTGGTGCATATATAAAACGAAACACAAGATTACTGATACTCCATTAAATCCAATTCAGTGCTCTAAATGTACTCGTATGGTTTTCCAGTACTCCTGTATTGAAAAAATAAGGAGTACGTACTCCTGATGTTGAAAAATTATCTGGAGCCCTGACAAAACATGCTGAGATAAAATAAAAAACATATCAAATTTGACTCAGACAACAAAATGATTTTAGAAGTAAGAAGGACAATGAGTGACATGCACACAATGTCTTAGTGCGAATATTGCAGCCATTTTGTCAAATATAACAAGAAAAATTGAATGTGTACTTTCAAAGTGTTTTAAGTGTAATTCATTGCCTGGAACCTTCCTTAACAAGCATGCTGACCAAGGATTTACCATTAAATAATGAATAAATCATTAACAACCACCACATAACAGATGTTATATTTGGGGTTACACTTTCTTAGTCAAGTACAGATTCTAGTACTCTTGTTGGGTTGCGTCCGTTCCATGATTCGACTGACTGACTGAGTTTTGATTTTACGCCGCTTTTAGCAATATTCCAGCAACATCACGGCGGGGGACACCAGAAATGGGCTTCACACATTGTACCCATGTGGGGATTCGAACCCGGGTCTTCGGCGTGACGAGCCAACGCTTTAACCACTAGGCTACCCCACCGCCCCCCGTGATTCGAACCCATACCCTCATGCTAGTGGAAGTCACGGTGGCTGAGCGGGTTAGGCGGCTGACTTTGTGTGCTGGCAATTAGGTGCCTGACTCTTGAGGGCATGGGTTCGAATCCCGGATAGGACTCAACCCAACAAAAGTACAAGAATCTGTACTTTACTAAGAAAGTGTTATCCCAAATATAACATGTTACATTTGACCACTTTCTAAATGGCATTGTGTAATCACCACATAACAGGTGCCTTATCAAAACATGATGAGAAAGTGATTACACTATTTTATATCCCCAAACTCCCACAGACCACAACCATAACTAAACATAAGATTCTCTCTTCCAGTAATTATTATCCAGTAAGGATAGGATCAAACAGAAATAGGACCACAGAATTTCTTAGTAAAAAACATTCCATTGCAAAGATTTTGCAAATCACCTTGAAGGTTACATACTTATAAGGCTAGTAATTAATAAGGCCATGGAAAATGGGTCCTGGATATCTTCTACAAGGCCATCAGTCATAAAATTATGCTGGACCCAAAGATGGCCGGAAATGAAGGACGAATGACTGAGGGACAAGGATGGCCTACTCTACCTGACACGTGCATCTATACAATGATCCAAACCTTATGATAAGTTAACAATACAGACCGATCAGGGGTGGAAATAACTTTAAAATTGATAGTGTACTCCGGTACTGTGGCACATGTTAAGTCACTTGCCCTGATAATTTTTCCACTATACCGACCGTTTTCTTGCTGATTTTTTAAATAAACAACATAATTACCATTAGAAAGTCAACTGGACACCGGTACAGTGTGACATACAAATTTGCTTGTCCCGACAGAAAAAAACACTGGACTCGGACGTCGGGCAATGGGTTATTTCCATCCCTGCAGATCTGAATGAGGATCTCTTGGAGAATGTGAAACACCCATGGACTGCAGTTTCTGGTAACCATGTATAGAGCCTTATGTGCTTTAAACTGGTTTCAATGCAATGAAACAAAACACATGAAACCTGGGAATTCTTTGTAACAATTTCTGTAACCTAAAGGGTTCAAGTTTTCTGAAGTAATTACGCCGGTTCGCTCCTATAAGCACCCCCTGACTAACTTCCAGGCCAATCTGCATGTAGTGCTGGATCGATTGATTGAAGGATTGATCTCTGTCAACAAATTAGACTAGATGTGAATAGATTTAGTAGTGAGAGAGTGCGTTAAGTTCTATGCAATATTCTAGCAATATCGCGGCGGGGACACTAGAAATGGGTTTCACACATTGTATCCATGTGGGGAATCAAACCCAGGTCTTCAGCGTGATGAGTGAACGCTTTAACCACTAGAGTAGCCCACCGCCCCTGAAGATACAGAGGTGCAGAAAATGACTCATAAATTTTGTACTGAAAGGTTGATAGACATTGTGTCTTCAGACGTGTGGGGCTACCCCACTGGCCTGAAAATATTTAGTAAGCCTTTGTCAATTGTATAACACCCCAAAGTGCTCATTGTGGGAAATAGAAAAGCATTGACTGTTTCAGTACCGCACAACTGGTCCTCAGGCAATGACAATATTAGTGAAGGGAGATACATGGATAATGGAAACAATGTCAAAGCAGCCAGCAGGGGTAGAAATAACTTTAAAATTGATAGTGTACTCTGGTACAGTGGCACATGTAAAATCACTTGCCCTGATAATTTGTCCACTATACCGGCCGTTTTCTTGTTGATTTTTTAAAATAAACAACATAATTAACATTGGAAAGTCAACTGGACACCGGTACAGTGTTATATACAAATTTGCTTGCCTGACAGAATAAAACACTGGACTCGGACGTCGGGGAATGAGTTATTTCCACCCCTGAAGCCAAAATAACGATTACAACATGAAATTCTGTTTATGTATATCAAGTACACTGTGGTGCCCTCAAAACAGGAGGCATAGCAATACATCCAATAAACACTACAATCAACAGCTTATTGAACCAATCACATGTTGTCGTTATGGCAACAGCCAATCAAACAGAGGTGAGGAGTAATCACAGCTACATTTAATACTAAATTATATAAACATGACCGCTGGTCAAAATATTACTTTGGATTTAATACTAATAATGCAAGGTTTTACACACTGAATCAGATGCAATACCATGTTATCAACACTGAATCATGATTCAGTATTGCATTTTGATTCAAATCTGTACCCTTGACACTAAATAATGATTCTTTGTTATGATATTACACCTTGTATCAAGATGCATTATGTTACATATTCAATTATGATGCAATGTTGGGATATCCACACTTATAGCACAATATTTATCTATGCATTTAATCGTGAAGCCATATTGTAGTATTTGTACTGATGTATTGTGTCAGCCCTTTCACAAAGTAAGCTATAAGTTAGGGACCGTTCATAATATATGGCTAGGGGGATGATGATGATTTTAAGGGGGGAGGGGGTTGTCACCCATTTTGTCCTGTGGAGGTAGGGGGGTCATCAATTTTGTGCACATGTACTAGGGGGGTCAGCAATTTTGTACATACCAATATTAAATTAATATGCTTAAAATTATGGAAAGGGGGGAGGGGGTAAGGGGGCATTGATTTTGTACACAACATGCAGGTGGGGTCACTTACTTTAAAACAAGAACATAAATTTTAGAGGGGGTCATTCACATTGTACATGCTTCTCCATAAAAAATCATCATCACCCCCCACCCCCGCTACCCATATATTATGAACAGTTCTTAGCTTTGTTCTAATGTTGCCAAGTTAACATATTGGCTGTTTGCAGCCTTCACTGTGATGAATGCACCAAATCTCCTCAACAATGTAACAAAGAAGGCAAAGGAAGTCTTCAAAATGTGTTTACTGGTCCAAGAACACAAAAACTGTATTAGCAATATGGCAAGTAACTCTTTTTCAAAGATTAAAACAGTGTCAATATCAATTTTCAAATTAACTGCATGTGTTATAATAGGGTATGTTGTGTTGTTGGTAAATGTCTATAGCACTCCATATTTACTTGTCATAAAGTATTTTCCTTTTCAGCATTAACCAATGACATCATGGGAAATGTCTTAATGTTATTGTTAAGTTATTGTATATTATTTAATAACACCCTGTATCAAACAGTGTATGGAGTCATATGTTTCCATGACAACTAAACACTTGATCAGCCAAATGCAGAGGAAAGTCCCTGAAAGTGATAAAGAAACCTTGTCACATCTGAATGTCCTACAAAATAATAACTAAAAGAGAAATCCTGTTCTTAATGCGTGTGACCGTGGACGCACATGATGCTTCAAAGACTTCCTTTAACAGTTTGCAGTAAACAACAGCACAAAAATATGAGAATGACAGCAGTGTAAAATATTCAGCCTTATCTGCTATGACCAGTCATACTGTCAGCTGACACACAGATAAATAGTCCACATCATTTCCAAACACTCTACCAATCATGTGACCTGTCAATCAACCAATCAGTAATCAGCCTTCATCTCCAGCAGGGCCCTGACTGCTGTGTCCCTCAGTGTGTTTCTTGGATGCATGTCGTGGTGGCTTGTACCTGGAACAACAATACGGGCAATAAAATGACAATCTCATTAAAAAACAGATGCTTCACTCTTATATGATACTTCTGTTTGTGAGATATGATAGCCTGTCTAATGTCAAGCCAGGTGAGCAAATTTTGACTACCAAATATCAATGATTTGGGTTTGGTTTGTTGTTCAACACAACACACGGCAATATTCCAGCTATATGGCGGCGGTCTGTAAATAATCGAGTCTGGACCAAACAATCCAGTGATCAGCATCATGAGCATCGATCTACACAATTGGGATACGATGACATGTGTCAACCAGGTCAGCAAGCCTGACCACCCAATCCTGTTAGTTGCCTCTTATGACAAGCATGGGTTACTGAAAACCAATTCGGTTTGTTCCCGGAATGCTGGCATGTTACGGTTGCTGAACTAATCAGCTGTTGTTACAATCACACGGGTCGTATCAATTAGAATTTACAATTTACATGTAGGTGTTAGTAATGGGTGGTACTTGTATTACTAAGGAAAATGAAAGAAAGATAGATGTGACAATTAAAAGACATTTTATTCATGTAAAGCAATGGACATATATCATTCATTACAACCAAACGGATTTTGCATGACACAACTTATAACATAACGATTTCTTCCACGCAGGCCCGCAGGTGGGGGTCAAGTCACAATACTGTAGCCGATAACTTTCTTTGCTACATTCCCATGGTTAATGTCCACTCACCAGTATGTAGATACTAGTCAATGTGCGTCTTTATATTTGGTCTTATAATCCTAATTAAATACTTGTATGCATTTTGAAACTAAATAAAAGCAGACGATCTGCTGAATACTTATAGTGAATTTATAACAGAACTGTAATATCTAGACATTATATAGTTTGCCAATGTGAATCATAATTAGCACACACCCCCTAGTGCATGTTGTCTGTCTCATTACACTTCACGCAGCGAAAACAATGATTCTGTTGATATGCTACGACAAATGAATAAAACAAAATGCAAATATTAAAAATTAAAAACAGATTAAAGTTATAGGAACAATATCAGGCCATTACCTTGTTCGAGGAATGTATCCATCAATATCCACAAAACTGTTCCAAATGATGTGTCTTTTAACAGTTTAATATACGAAAAAGTGATAAATCTTTTCAGGTATTGGTGTATAGTCTCATTGGTCACCCAAGATAGCACACCTGGCAACTAATTGCATATTGTCCGCCTTTCTTTAAAACAGTAATTTAGTTAGCCAATAATGGGCAATCAATCAATGTATTGCCGGGTTAATCCTTTGAAAGAAGGACGTTGTTTTTACGCTAGACACCGACCACGACAGAGTGTATTCAGTATAGATTAGTAAATCTACATACATAAACACTACCTTTTGACAATTCCGCTGTGTAAGATAAAAGTAATTAATCAATCAGCTGTGTTATCGGTTAATCCTTTGATCGATGTTTATAATGTTGAATATTTACTCCAGACACAAGAAATGCAAAATGGGACCCTTTGTCGGTAATCTAAGTGTGTTACCACTAATTATACCTGTTGTAAATTCATTAACTGACCATCAAGTGAATGATGACAAATAACATATGTAGGTATATACCACCTAACACGGGTTACAAATGAGGGAGTATTAATTGCTGTATTGCATGTGAAAACTTATGGGCCGACACTGTTTTGAGAATACAAACAGATTTTTACATGACGCGATTAAATACCGAGGTAAAAAACACAGAAATGGGATCAATTTGAATCAGTCATTATACAAATAGGGCCTAACGACACCAATCGATTTTGACAGAATCGTCTATGAAAACAAGTTGTAACTCGAAACTAGGCAAAGCAGGAGACAAAACTAAATGACAGTAGATTGTGAGAACATATAGCTTTCATTTTCCACAACAATTGTCACGATTTCAGGTTTATACAAGCCTGTAAACAAGATAATTTAACCCCTAAAATGTAGATGAATTCTGCATCGCCCCTCAAAGCTATTCCTCATATGACGCCACAGATGCTTGGCCCGCTCTGATTGGTTGAAATTTCGCTTCATGGGTGAGAATTGTGCACTGTTGTCAAAAAGGTCGATTTAAGTCAATTAAAGGTCGAAATGAGTAGTTTTAATGACGGGTTTCATTTATAACGATGCCAGTTGGTGATTTATGTATTTTTACCCCCTAGGGTTTATGTGACCTTTAATACTTGAACACCAAAGGACAGCTAAGGCAGTAACATTTACAATACACATAATACACATCTACAGGCCCACATAGTGGGATACAGTATCGTGGTATTGTTCCCGAGTGATCTGTCCATTCATGAGGTGACGTTTAGCCAAATCCAGGGCGTTGTGAAGCTCTCTATACTTCGTCTTAGGCGGAAGACGACCCCCGGCATTCAGCTGAATTAGGATAATTTCGGTAGCGTTCTGCTCCTGTCTCAGCAAATCGACGAATTTGAACAGGTTGGGGTGACTTGCAGCACGCTTGTTGAAGTTGGAGTGCCAGCCTTCCCCATGCCCCCCCATAATCTTCCAATTAACATGCTTCACTGCTTTGCCTACCTAAAACAAAAGGTGCCAGCATTCCGGGAAGACGCCACCAATTCTCACCTGAATCTTCACAGGTTATATGGTAGAAACAACAAGGGAAAGTGCAGGGCCTTATATAAATGGAACCCCTAATCCACCCCCTATTCACTGACTTACTGACTGAGTTTGGTTTTACGCCGTTTTTAGCAATATTCCAGCAATACCACGGCAGGGGACACCAGAAATGGGCTTCACCCCCTATTCAAACAGTAACAGATTTTGTATGCCACTTTTAGTAATATTCCAGCAATATAATGGTGGGATATGCCTGAAATTGGCGTTTTTGGCGTCGTTGTACCTATGGTTTGAACTGATCCCAGGTATTCAGTGTGAACACCTTGTCAATCCTGAACAGGGAAGCATACACAACTGATGAAGCTAGACTCTAAGACATATTACCTTTCCCATTTTTTATGATTGAGATTGGAAAAGTCCTCCAGCTGAGCGATGTCCTTCAGGTATTTTGCCAGTTTTATCAACTCTGTATCCGATTCACGGTTGAAGTGAGCTTTCTTAAATGGTTTGATCTAAACAGAAAATGTCGACAAATATTACTTTGTCAGATTCAGCTGAAAATCAAATGTGACATTAAAATGTGTAACTCTCCCACAGATCAACAAGAGTCATCAGAAGATGACATATCCCCCCGGCCCCCACTTATTTGAAAGAACAAATCATCTGACAGTTGTTTAAATGTCCAGCTTGATTTCTTTTTAAGACTAAGTCCAAATCGTTTCCATGGAAATCATGAAAAATATAAATGCCAAAAATCTGGAATAGCGAAAGGCATCACTTCAAGATCTGCCACATATATCTGCCAAATTATGTTGAAAGATATTGAATGTTTTTTTAGTTGTGCTCCGGAAACAAGGCCCACCCCTCCCTTATGAGACTACACTCAGCACCATAATTGAAGGGTCATGCAGATAGTAAGCATGTTATAAGTATGCTCAACTTCACCAGGTCCATGTATGACACCCTACATATCTAGGTGTCCTTTTGATATGGACATGTATAACCATCAGTACTCACTTTCAGGCCATTCTGTGGATTCATGATGAAGTTCCGGCGGATATCATCAAACATGATTGTGTTCTTTGCAGACCATTGTTCAAACTTGCCCCAGATAACCCCAAGTGGTTTCACCTTAAACAACAAAAAAAACAAACTTGGTTAATGACTCAAGTTTCAAATTTCAAATAACTGTGAACTAATCATCCTGAGTATCACTGGACTACATGTTTTTGGACATTATCTGTGTCGAGATCACAGATGACTGTGTTTGTATTAATAAGCTTATGATACTTAAAATAGATGTAATATGGTATTGTTAATGTGGGTTATTAAATTTTGAGGGGTTTTGTTGGCTTGTTCCCATTTCACCTACATCCCATTTCGCCTACACCCTTATCAAAACAAATTTACGCCTGAGTGAACATAGGATTTGTATGCTGTAGTTTAATGGACTAACCCAAATAATGAGAAACAAACTTATAAATATCTCAAGTATATATCAAATAATATACATGTAATCATAAACTTGAACATGTCAAGTTATATCAAATCACATAAGCACAAATATATCAAGTCACTGAAGATATCAAGTTTATATCATTGTTCTCAACAAATCTAATGTATTTGCAGTTTAATTAAATGTCCAGCTGCGTCCAGAAACTGCAGCACTGTCTTTCTTCCAGTTGCTAACTGGTCCTTCAAGCGAGTCAGTCTAGCATCCAGTTCCTTGTACTTGCGAGGACGTGAGCGGACTCCAGCACCATGGTCTATCTGCAAGCGAAGTCGTCGGTCAGCTGACTCAATCTTCTTGATTTCCATGACAAATTCATAGAGGTTAGGATGGGACTTCTTCAACCTCTTCTTTAGTCCCAGATGGAAGCCTTCCAAGTGGTTGTTAGTTCTCAAGCCAATAGTTTCATGTTGGTTCCATATCTCTCTTGGAAAGCGTGCGTCGTAGTCCACCCAGTTGGCCATGACGTAGTCATTGAATCACCGGATGGATGGAGTGTTGGGTCCTGCATCCATTACAGCCATTGAAGGATGGCATGGTTGCTGCGTTCACGTCTTCAGCTGCATTCAGCTCATCATCGTAGAGTGGAGTGATGTCGGTCTGCACACGTTCACGGAGTCGGCTTAGAAGACGTGTATGGTCTTCATTCTCTCTGGGATGGCAGTGGTCAGATGCAATGGTGATGTGGTCCCCTATGGTACTGCAACGTGCCTTGCATCCTGTCTGAACACACTTCCAGTGTGTTGCCACCTGACGTTTCACATTCAGTCGATAGCGATATCCATCATACAGAACTTGCTGCCTGCCTCTCTGTGTCGTAATAAATTCTACTCTCTGAAGAAATGCGTTTGCCATTTTGACATCACAAACAACATTTAATATCCCTTATATACTTTATATTAAAACAACAGTACACGGAGAAGAGAACATAACAAAATTGCACATTGAGCAGGAACCCTGAGAGAAGCCACTTTATTAAGGCTTTATTAAAACAACAAATCTTATCAACATAGATATAAAGTGACTTTGATCTCAAACCTATTACAGTAATTTGCATTATTAAGCAACAAACCACTTTAATTAATAAAATAAAACAGTAAATGTATTCTTTTGACGACACTGAGCAGGAAATGTTGGCCATCCCATTCACTGAATGAGGGGTGGATGAGTTGCCATCCTCAATTACTGTAGGCGAAATGGGATGTACTCATGTAGGCGAAATGGGAACACCCCGTTTTGTTAGATTACATCCGGTAATACTATGGGAACAGGGTTGTATTCAGGGAAGCGTGGCCAGGTATGGCCAGAGAGCTGGGGAGTTAATTGATAAACATTAGGGAGGTGTAAAGTAGCTTGGGTATGGGAGGTCAGTATAAATAGTGGGAAAGGGCAGTAGTTTACAGTCAGCCAGAATAACCATTGTGTTCACCTACATGGGTTCAAGCAACAGATATTCTGATACATTTGTACATCTCATGCTGGCTGGTGTAAGTTTTTATTGTTATTACTTTTGTACATGACTGAGTATAATCGCGAAAAGACTTCTTAATTGATGAATTATTTCTGGATATATATGTATGCTTATATTGTAACATTATATAGCCACTTAATGAAGATGAAGTCACTGTTCCATTTAAACAGTTCCACATTTGGAAATGTAAATCGGAGTACAATGTAGTGTGTACAATGTAATAAGTATAATACCTGTATTGTATTGTAGTGTCCCGGAACTGGCCAGTTATCATTTGAGTAAGGAGAAGTCAAATATCTCCAAGACAAGGGTCTCTGTTACTGAGTAAGGAGTATCTCCATAAAGAGTGAGATGTAGATGGCACAGCCATCATCAACTACACAGGCCCCTTCTGGGAAACCATCGCCTGGGTGTGAGAGGTACCACATCTGTACACAAGAAGTGTCATAAAGTGGAACCAAAGTGCACTGACATTCTCATGAGAAACTGTTACACATCTGAAAGACCACAGAGTGGCAGTTTTCATTCTTGTTTATTTCATTTCTTTAGTATTCAATTCTGTATTTAGTCATTGTTTATATTAGTGTGGGTATTAAGCTATTAGTATAGCCAGTAGTGTTGATAAGGTAAATGTAGCAATATTAGAGGTAGGCAGAAATATATGTGCAGCTAGTTTAGGTAGCCAGTTTCATTAGTTGTATTAGTCCTTCTTGAATTAGTTTAGATTATATTATAATTATTGGGGTTTAATTATACCTTAAGGGGAAGAATAAAGTTTTAAAAACTTATTCTATTGTTGTGGTTACTTTGGTATGTGACAATCCGCTCCATGACAGCCACTTTCACCGGGATTCCTCTTGCTATAATGAGGGTGTGCCATCACACAAACAATGTAATAAATTGACTAACAGGATCGGGTGGTCAGGCTCGCTGACTTGGTTGACACATGTGTAGATTGATGCTGATGCTGTTGATCACTGGATTTTGAGGTCCAAACTCGATTATTTACAGACTGCCGTCATATGGCTGCAATATTGCTGAGTGCGGCATAAAAGTAAACTCACTCAGGATAAAGTTGTACATAATATACGAGTGAGATCTACAAATGTGTCTAATAACCCTTAAAAGAGGAAATGTAATGACATGGGCCAATGATAATCATTTTGTTGGCATCTGAAGATGCCTTAAGTTATTCCAACTGTACCTCGATGACCCCATACTTGGGTGTGTGCACACTGATCATTGCATCACAGTCTACATAGAAGGAGATCTTGTAGTTAACGTTGGTTTCAACTCCCAAACCCTTCATCTTTGTCTCGATCCATTTCATGCCCGTGGCAGCTGCAACACAAGGATGTTGTTGAAACTTTGTAACATAAACATGGGTAAAATAGCGCATGCGTTTTGTCAAAATCACATACAAGTTTAACGTAATGAGAAAAATGTAATTTTTATAGTAAACTTGATATTTTATACTTATCCTGACTCATGCTTATTATGCTTATCTCCATTTTCTATGCGAATGATAGTGGAACACTTGAATCCCTTGAAGAGGACGTAAAAGTTCCCTCACCCACGAGTTGCCTCCCTTGAACCCTTTTCCCTGCCAAAACAGTCATGTGACTTGCCATGCTTGTCACTCTCCTGAATAAGCCCTTGCACCTGGGTTTGCTGGGAAACCCGATGTGCCTTCTGCGGGGAGGTTGGGAGGGCTTGGCACCATGAGTCAGGATAAGTATAAAATATCAATTTTTCTTTAAAAATTACATATTTTTCCTTATCCTGACTTATGTTTATTATGCTTCCAGAATCCGATGGAAATGGTGGTGGGCCAGGCCACTTCGTGGATTCATCAGCTGTCCTTAGATACGTCCTGTATCCCCCCCCCATGGGAACTGCGTAACGGCACTTCCTGTTCTTCCAACTTCTGCTATCAACTCAGGGAACCACATCTTGTCATATTTTCTCTAAGACAAGTGAATCTCATAGATTCATGTGGATTTTAGATATACAGTCAACTCTCGTTAATCCGACACTTGTGGTTGCATAGAAATATGTCGGATTAACGAAAATGTCGGATTAACGAAAATGTCGGATTAATGTATCTGCATGAAAATATCAATGTTTACTAAATGTCATGATCGTCATACTGTTGCATGCATATCAGAAATGGTAGATCTAGTTATCTTAATCGTATGTAAAAATATTCACAGAAATAGAAAATAATAACAATACATCCTTGTTATCATTTATTAACATTCATAGGTGGCATAACATACATATATAATCACATATTCAATCAGTTTCATATCTATTTCATAACCACATCGGCACAAAACTCATGTTTGTTTTTACCGCATATCAGCAGCCATTATGACCCGGATGTTGAATATGTTAGTTTCCATACAACTTATTCCATCCTAACACGTGGACGTCAGAGTGAACAATCAGGCATTTATCATAACATTTATAATTTATAACATGAAAAAGTCTTTGATGGTCATTAACATCAAAAACGTTTAAGTGGTGTGTCAGAAATGTTTGCAAAGTGTTCAACAATGTTTTGGCCTCAGATAGATTGAAGCATTGGAATCAGTCGTAGAGACGCTCACCACTAAGCAGACTGCTTCAGGATGTCAGATACAGTCAATCATCCAATCTTCACATAAAACTTCTGCTCAGCAAAAGTGACCCGTTGTGTTGTCTGGGTTTTGTCTTTCTTCAAAAGGAGATTTCTGTCTTGATCAATGGCTTAACTTCTACTCGGGCTCGCTTAGCAGGTGGTGTAGTCGTGACAGACATCTTGTGATGAAAACTCATGTCGGTTGTAAACATTTTATACAGCTCGCTCTACTGATACTGATAACATCGTCTCAATTAATTATCCTGTGTTCCTAATTAACAAGTGTGATGTACACCGACGTCAGTGTCAAGCAGCCAGTAAGGCACACGCTAATTACCACTCACCTGTGATTGTTTGTATACAGTCGGATCATCCGACCGTCTGTGTTGATTGTCGGATTAACCAATGTTTTTTACAATGTATTTACAATAATCAGTTGCTAGAGTAGATTGCTGTGTCTGAGTCGGAATGCGTGATTGTCGGATTAACGAGAGATGACTGTACTAGTATCTTCTTTTTACTAGTTATCTATAAACAACCCATAGATTATGATAAGATCGTTACCATAAAAGAGTTGCAACCCCTAGCGTACAGAGTCTTAATCACTCATGCTAATCTGGTCTAGACGGTGTGCATGGACCGAAACTCTCCAGAGTGAAGGTTATCAACAAGTAAACGTGATAAAGGGTGATATTTCCAACTCAGCTCCTTTGTGGAACCGGGAGGCAACTTGTGGGTGAGTGAACTTTTACGTCCTCTTCAAGGGATTTAAGTGTTCCACTAACATTCGCATAGAAGGAGATAAGCATGAGTCAGGATAAGGAAAACTGCAAGATTTATGGATGTCAACTTCTTGCTCCTTCATCAAGCATGCACTCCGAAATGTCATGTTATTCACAATAAAGAAGTTGACATCTTGCTTTTTTTATGCATTCCACTTCGAATGACCTTCAAAGATTTTATTGTAATGATATCAATGTATGCTGCAACCTGTATAGCTGACAAAACATTAGACAGGATTTGAAGCCAACTGTGTATGAATGCTTTTCTTGTTGAGCATCTTTTTTTTTCAGATCACAAATCTAAAAACACCCCAATGGTGTAATAGACACGAAATTTTATTTAGTTGTGTTTCCCAACATTATGCTAACCAGATGGGCTTTGCAATCACAGAATCATGATATCGTCATTGCATTCCAGCATGTCTGTCTCACAAATGTGAGAGCTGATGTGGAGATAAAGAATGAGTTTAGTTTTACACTGCTTTTAGCAATATTCCAGCAATATCAAGGGAAGCAACTCTGCACAGTTAATTGGGTTAGGCCACCATGCACCCAAACAGGTCATATAGAATTATGACAGCAATAATGTTGCATTAAGCAAAAAACATTGAGTGAGTGAATATGGTTTTACGCGCTTTTGGCAATATTCCAGCAATATCACGGCAGGAGAAACCAGAAATGGGCTTCACACATTGTGCCCATGTGGGGAATCAAACCCAGGTCTTCAGTGTGATGACCAAAACATTTTAACCACTATAGTACCCCACCGTTCCGCGAAAACCCCATTAACATATACTAACACCAGATGACAATGTCATAGTCTTCATATGCTGAGGCAAGAAAGTCATGAAGGTGGGGCCTCATCAACTCCAGGGCATTCTCCGCCACTGACCTGTGATCTGTAATTAGGCAAGAAACACACATCAACTTTATTCCGTTCATTATGAGAAAAAATCATCATACAACAGTTCATTAAATTCACTACAGTAGGAAGGGATTGCTTCTAGATTCCTTGGAAGTTAGTCAGGATAAGAAACAATATGTAATTTTTAAAGTAAAATTGATATTTTTATACTTATCCTGACTCATGAGATCAAGCCCGCTGGAAACACTTAGGATTTCACAGCAGATCCAAGTGCATGGGCAGAAAAATCAGGAGAGAGTGACAAGTAAGGCTGGTCACATGACTGTTTGCGCGGGAAAGGGCAAAAGGGAGGTAACTCGTGGGTGAGTGTATTTTTACGTCCACTTTGGGAACTTCAAGGGATTCAAGTGTTCCACTACCATTCACAAGGGAAAGGGAGATAAGCAAAAGATCATGAGTCAGGATAAGAAAAACTTGAACATCTCTATAAAGTTCTTACCAAACAATGTATAATCTATATCCAGCACCAGCAGTTTCTTGCCAGGACGAGGTTCATTGAGGATGTTTATCTTGTAATCTTTCACTCTCCTTGCCACTTTTTCAAGATATTCTTCTCTGAGGTAAGATGAAGAGCAATTGAACAGTGCAAGCTATTGGATTTAACTTGATAATAATGGCTTCCAAAAGAACTGTATTCATCACTGGACACAAACTCTAAAACTGAACTCTAAAAATGAGCATCTGTATAAAATATACAATAGTTTCCTTGTGGACTGTTGACAGTTATTTGACTTGATACATCTGGAACTATACTCTGACAGAACTTTACAAAGTAGTCAAATGTAACAACTGTCACACTTGGGATTACACTTTCTTAGTAAAGTAAAAACACTGGTACTTATTTGGGTTGAGTCCTCCAGATTTGAACTTACACTTGTATCATCAGCACACAAAGTCTGCAATCTAACCCACTGAGTCTCAGTAAAATGGAAGTCTGACAACTGGTACAGGAGATCACATACCTTGTATAGCCCTCGGACAAACATAAATGGGCAGTGCCTTCCAGAAAGTGGTCAAATTACAAATGTACAAGTCAAGAATAAGGCTTATGATAATACGTTGAAGGTAAACAGATACTCCCCATAAAACCAAAGCATTTGCTATCCTTGTATATGTTGTTTATTCACCATCCTGACATATATACAAGACATGTATTCACACACTTTAGCATCAGCACTGATAACAAATACAGCATCAACATGATCAACAAAATCATGAAAATATTCTTAGAATTCATTCCTAGTCTTATAACCATTTAACCACTGCAATTTCTTTTGTTTCAGTTTAATAATTTCCCCAAAACACAATGACAGACCTATGACTAACTTTGAGCGCTATTCTAATATATGTACCTGTTTTCAATGGCAATTTCTTCTTCTTCAATATCAAAATCGTTCACTACTTCTGGCATATCAGCAGGTGGCTCAATGACCTTTGCCTGGAATGAATTGAATCAGTGAAATGCATTGTGTTTAGTACTGATTTAGTGAGTGAGTGAGTGAGTGTAGTTTTACGCCACACTCAGCAATATTCGAGCTATATGGCGGCAGTCTGTAAATAATCGAGTCTGGACAAGACAATCCAGTGATCAACAGCATGAGCATTGATCTATGCAACTGGGACACCTAGAAAAGTATAATACTTTATGGATATTATTTATTGATGACACTAGTGACTAAACCAAATCAGCGATCCTGATCAACCGATCCCGTTAGTCGCTTCTTACAACAAGCATGGGTTACTGAAGATCAATTCTAACCTGGATCTTCACAGGTTTCTGATTTAATGAGGGAGGAAATGAAGGTTTTAGGCAGGGGATCACCAAAAATGGTGTTCTATCAAAGGAGTTTTCGTGTCTTGTGTAGATTTTCTTTCACTGAGGCAGAAAGTTATGAATTGGTAACAGAGGTGGTAAACGCCAAATCATTATAGAAAGCTGACATCTGATTGGCTCAAACACCTGTGCAACCTTCATGTTGACAAAGCTGTCAAAGTTCAGGGTTCAACATGCTTCATTACTTCATTTCATTATGTAAAATAAGCTACTCACAAAATGCCATGATATTTTAATTGTTGTAATATGAAAGAATCAGCTTATAATAAAGCTTTTAAAAGTTGTAACCACTAGTGCATTCATGCATTCAACATGGATCCTTTCAAACTGCATTATTGACTACAATGTTGGGAAACTTACCAGCTCTTCCTCCCTGGTGCCAACAAGCATGATCTTAGAATTTGGTTTCAATTTCAAAGATGACAGAGACATTCCATCCTCTAGCTGGTTGCCTACAAAACAAGGGCAATAAAGGACATCATACAAGTGTACTTTGGGACATTATCTTAAGGATGCAATGAACCTCCTATGAGGGGAAAAACAATACATATTATGAATATAGGGTTACAAAATACTTTTACAAATGTCACAACACTTCACCAGCTGATGTTTGACTCATCGTACTAAGTAAAATAATCACAAAATGTATCATTTAACATGTTTTGATACTTTTGACACTATTATTTTGTCACCTGAATGACCAGTGACCCCATTACTATCAAATGATAGCACAACGAACACATTTGTTGTGAATTTATGTACTCTATAAATGAATGTATTATTATTATTATTATTATCAAATGAAATGTATGAGTGTTGACTTTTTTTTTCAATGTGATTTACATGGCAATCTAATCTGTCTTCTTACAACAATAACTGCCCTGTATCAAAGGGAAGCTACTCTTACCCTAGTCTGTGAAACATTACAGAGGTCTGTGTTGTTTAATTTCAACATTAAGGTTATTATAAACTTTTAATATATTTATGCTCAATTTCAAAACACTGACATTAGAATTATTGCTAATTTTCACACAAGTAAATGCTTAACTTATGTGCAGAGTGATAACTTCTGGCAATTCAAACATGGTAAAGAATTAATGACGCTGAAGGGGTCATTGTCGGCACAGGTACTACAGATACGTTTCTGTATACAGATATGTACCCTAAACAAAGTCAAAATACAGATATGTACCCTAAAAGGCGGACGAGTCCATATTCCGCAATCGAAAACAGAAACTGTATGTAGTTGTTCCCGTTCAACTGGTTCTGAGTGGTATTATGCATCAGGCGTTACTGTGTATTCTCATTACTTACAGATAACGCAATCAAATGTACCTAATACAACAGTATGACAGTTCCGATCAAGAATACGACATAGTGGGAATGGAATCTTCCTAGGGTACGTTTCTGTATTCTCATTATGGGCAGGGTACAGAAACGTACCTGGGGTACATATCTGTAGTACCCGTGCCGACAACGACCCTTCAGCATTAATAACACAGAAATTGAGAGTGATGTCCAGTACTGTGACTTCAAATCATCAACATGTTATCGCAGTATCTGACAAGATGATAACTTCTCATAAGATTGACAATGATTCATAAAATTCTTCAAATTCTCTGTGTTTCTGATTAGTCACTTTTCTGTTCATTGACCGATTCTGATAAATAAAATGGCGGCAAATGTTTGTTTCAAAGACAAATTTGGTAATAATACAGAAGAGAGTCTATAAAAGACTGAAAACTGCATCAAGATGTTCTGATGCTAAATGCTGACACCGAAATAAACGAATACCGTCTGTTGACGTCGAGAAATAAGGCTGTAGCATTGGGTCGTTAGGATATTCTATTTGAAATGACAAAAAGCATATGTTCCGTGTCTAATTCCATAATTTACAACTGTTAACAGTTTTTTTGCATTTACACATACTATTATGGAAAATGCTACAAAAGAACACGGTGAACTAACGAGCGCAATGAATGGTACAGGCTAACATGACCAGGTGTTACAAAATTCTAACCGCCACTGATTTAATGCAACAATACCTTTCACTTTGAGGCCAAGAAGTTTTTGTCTCTCGGGACATACTTGTGTTGCTTTATATATGGCATTTTTTAGGTCTGATACCGTGTCAGTATCAACAAGACCTGTTATTTTGTGTTCTTCTCTTTGAAACTTTACAATCAAATCTCCCACTTCTGTCATGTTTACTAACTTTGTGCACTGACACTACATTCCTACGCACTGGTAACTTAAAATTCCACTATCGGTGGGTGGAATTCCCTAATATCCCGAGATACTCTGTAAACTTAAATGAATATATACTATATTATTTTAGTTTGTTGTTTTAGAGTGATATGCATGAATATTAAAAATAAGGAAATATGCCAAACACAATTCAGATCAACGTATGTTATTGGTTATATAGAAACTACTACTGCAGGTACAAAGACAAGTAAAGTGTACTTCTATACGAGTCCAATGAAATAATAATTTACGACGTAAATTGACAATTGGCTGATAGAGGCTTCGGTATAATGTTTTATTTAGTTAAACAAACACAATGATGGCGATCTTATTATTACTTATCGATTAATGCGAAGCTAAGGATTAGAGCTCACGTGACTTCCTCTAAGCAGCAATGGCGGCTGCTAGACGAAGGTGTTTCCCAAAATATATGACACGACGAGGAAAAGATGTCATATGAAACCCGCATTCTTCTCGTAATCACGTGCATTAATCAGAAGAATTTGAAACGTTCTTTGAGTAAATGTAAGTGTCACCGATGTTATGAGTAGCAAATGGAGGCTCTGAGTAAACGGCAGTTGCGTCACTAACCCCCACAAATGTCATATTTATGATTGCTAATTTTGGTCTACTCGACGTTATTTTTTTATTACGATGCCGATTCTATGTCATATGTCACGCGCCTAAACCACTGATTAAAGCAAGTACAGCAATCTTAGCAGTATCACGAGGAAAGTGTCATTTACAAAATATCTCAATATAACCAAAGATTGAAATTATGCATTTCATAATATGCCATGATAATTACAGTTATAGTATTACCATTTCACTACTCACAGCAACTTTCTGCGTGACTGACAAAGACTTCTATAACTAGTTTTGTAAATAAATGTTAGTATTAATAGCCTATCACCAGCATGAAGATGTAGAATATCTAAATCAGAAACAAACCTACTGCTTTCAAAGATACAGATGACACTACGGTTGCAATCAAGTTTATACATGTGCATGGCTGACAACCTGTATCATGAAGTTCATGGTAAACTCTGCTCGAATACTTATTCAGCCTAAAGGATATAAATGGTTGGATATCTTGATTGTTTTTGTAGGACAAAACTTTGAATGCATGACACGTTTTATGGATAACAACTTCCTTTTTTATTCTTTACAACACCCTCTGATTGATTTGTGCTTTTCACTGATCTTTAAAAATATGCTGGCCCCATATCTTTTTCTCTATATCTTTATTCATATAATATGTATATTTCATCTGCATGTCATGAATTGATGTTAAGTGGCTCAAAAAGACATTTACAATATAGTACATATCATGATACTCTTGAGTGAAATTGTCGGAAGTATCATGAATTTGTTTCACCATATGAACATAGAACACCAAAAATTTGATATCATAAAGCTCAAATGTTGACCAATTATTAGCTTATTTAATACCCATAGAAACATGTCTGGGATGTGTCATTAAACAACTTGTAAACATGATCATTAAAAAAAGTATATTAAATGTTCCATATTGAAAAGGACTGAAGAATAATTTCTGATAATAATGACATACATGTATATGTGACTGTGCATATTGAAGTCATTTCAGAATCAGATTTGTGATAACTGTGGCTAAACACCTATCAGTAAATGCAATATAACTTCCAACAGGAACAATAAAATCAATAGGTTATTAATTTGTTTTCTTTTCAGCGATGAGTATCATTTAACAATGGCCACCATTGAGAAGCTCATCAAGGCCTTTGAGGGCCTGAAAGTCTTTCAGCCTGGTGGCCTGGGCACCGAAGAAACAACTAAGTAAGTTTTGTCATTAACATTCTTTAAATGACTGAACTGACTCCATATTAATCTGGAAATGCAGTTACAAGACACAGACACTTTAGTTTGAAATGAGAGTGAAACTATTCCACAATCATGGGTGATTATTATCTACTGATAGGAATTTTAGTAATGCTTGTTTATATGTAATTTTTTAAATGTCTTTATTTGGTAGGAGATGATTAATTTGGGTCATTTTGCCTGCAATGGGTTTAGTATTATCAGTTTGTTGTATTATGTTTCATGTGAATTTTCAATTTTAACCACTTTAATATTTCCTCACAGAAAAAAAGACCAGCCACCAAGCAAGAAAGACAAGATGGTCAACTGCAACATTGTAGCTGATTGTATATGTGCTCCCAATATGAGGTAAAACCGATATGTTACCTTTCTTCAAACTAAAACTAAATGCTTATTAACAAAGAAAAATAATGATATACCTGGCTGACATTAATGTGTTCACTGGTTACTATGGTTACATAGGGTTTGTACAGGAAAGACACACGTCATACAGCTCTCTAGTCCCCATATCTTGTGTTGAGGACAAGTAAAAATCCAACAATTGTAGTCCTCTGTTACTACTACACCTTGTTCAGCTTGACCTGATCAAGTGAATACTAATGCATTGCGTGACCGTGTCACAACTGGTGGGGTCTATTATTGTGAAGGGGGTGCACCTTTGTCAGTTGTTTGTCAACATGTCCGAACATATCGCCGTTTGACATCTCAGTGTCGAAAAATCGTCAGCAGTGTCCTAGCTTTATTTACAAAAGTGTTGTTTTCCGGGGCATGTTCTGTAACGAATCCATGTATGCGTGCTTCGCACAAATGCAACATCAATAACATTCTCTGCTCCCCTATTTGATGAAGTTAACTCGACCTGCCGTTTGTGCCATTTGACCTCCTGGGTCATGCATATGTATAGTAGCTCAGGTCAAGCTGAACAAGTTGTAGCATTAAGGGGCGGTGGGGTAGCCTTGTGGCTAGTGTTCGCTCAGCACGCCGAAGATCTCATCCCCACATGAGTACAAATCCTACATTTTTTGTCTAGATCAAGTGGAACTAACTACATACACAGAACTGCAGAAGTGTGGTTTACTGAAGTCAAATTTCTAAGACTCATCTGACTGCCAAAATAGGCTACATATATTTGCATCATAATTATTTATTGAAGACAATTTATCAGTCTCTAGAATGCATATTGTGTAGTTTCTAAACATGGGATTATGTATTTATCTTAAAATAAGTTGTTAACAATTTCATTTCATAGATTATTCATAGGGAAAGTAAATACTGTCAGTGACGTTTGCTGGAGTATTGAGTATAATAAGCTGTTCTTACTGTGTCAGGTCTATTGCGGACTTCCCCAAGTTCCTGGGCATAGCAATGGAAGCATTCCTAACCCTGTGTGATGATCAGGAGTCTGATATACGAATGGTGGCAGATGAGTGCTTAAATCGGACAATAAAGGTATGTGCAAGTAACTGATGGCTTGTATGGCAGGTGTTACGAGAGTGTGTTTTTTGTAATTTGTAATAACATTGGTTAGGTGATAATAATTATGAGTCACGATGTTTTGAGTGTTGGTTGTGGGTCACATTTCAAGTCATATATGTTCAGTGGCAACAGTATTTTAGTGGCACGCCTTTATGATAGCGCTCCAGAGTTACCTCCCTTGACCGGATGTTTATGTATTGACATCGCCATGTCGTATGTTCAACATGTTTCGGGAAAGATCTAAGTGGTTAATGATACAGCCATGCTCTGCTGGAAAGTTCGAGAATCTGTGTCAGTATATATAAGGGCTGGCTGTTGTGTTGTGTGACACGCAAGGACTGACACACGGACTAACATACGGAATTACATGGATCTTTCACTGGAGTTGCCCATCGTTGTTTGCCTTCGTCACATCGCCATCGTCTGACCTTGACACTTTGTGCCTGACTGCTTTCATTTGTAAACAAGCTCCATTTATGATATCTGATCTCACTGTGATTACCAAGACTCTGGCCGCCGTGATGTTGCTGGAATATTGCTGAAAGCGGCGTAAAACCAAACTCAGACAGTCAGTCAGACCAAGACTCTGGTGAGTTAATATTTTATATATGTGACCCATAACTTTAGATTTGTGACTCAATTGCATTGTATTAGAAATCTGTATTGTGATTCATTGTAGCTTGCTCATTGTTTGCTCAATATATTATTGAATATTTTAGACTTGTCTGTGTTATATTTTGCTGGTTCAAAGGGGATTCTTAAACCTTTTTGTCACGGCAATTATTTAACCGTAACACAGGTTTAAGGCAGATGTGTTATGGTAATGATAATACAGTGTTATTTATATTGTGGTACACTGTCACTTCTTTCAAATAAAGGGACAGTGGGGTAGACTAGTGGTTAAAGCGTTCGCTCATCACGCCAACGACCCAGGTTCAGTTCCCCACATGGTCGCAGCGTAAAACCACGCGCACGCACGCACACACACACCCAAATAGCTTCTGTTCAATACCAATAAATTGCAGATAAATGATTACTGGTATTCAAACATGTATTTTTAAACTTATCTTATCTAATGGTATGCACTTCTCTCTCTTGATTCGACACTGAGTGGAACGATGTAAACTTTTTTCCCTTGGCCTCTCTTGTCCATCCGCCCAAGCACTCCATGCTACCCTCATTATAAGACAGCTTCCTAGTTGTCATGCAAAGCATGCGGCATGCACCACTAGCTCCCCATGTGACTATCTCCGAATCATCATTCTCTTTCTTGTCGCACTTGAGTGTGAACGTATTTTGCTTTGCTCAATGTTTTCAACTTAGTCTACAACATGGGGAAAGCTGACCAACCCAAAAAAAGAGGATAAAATGCTCCCAGTGTAATAAAGTGTTCTCTGCGAGTGGTCCACATGCGTATTGTGTTGTCTGTATGGGACAGTGTAAATGGGACTCTCATTGCGATAAATGCAAGGATCTTACCTTCGAGGCATTTGGTGACTACACTCGGGCTTACGCTCGTCGTGTTGCTGACAGAGCTCGTTATGCCGCTTCACTTGACGAACCCAGTCCCTCCAAGAAAGGAAAGTTTTAGCGTCCTACTTTGTCTGCTCGGCGGTCACAGTCCCCTCCCTCGAATGAAGAGGATTTCATGAGAGCGTCGTCAGATTCTTACTTATCGGAAGACCTTCGGAATTTGTTGGGCTCTGAACATTCCAGCCCGAGTCCTTCGTCTTCGACCACGTCCCGGGTAGTGGTTGTCGAGACTGCTTCCACCCCTCAGGATATCTCTACACAGCGGGACCTTCGAACTACGCTCTCTGTGTCTCGTTCTCCGGACCAATTATCTCGGGCAGCCTGGCTTATCTGTTTCGGACAAGAATCAGCTGATCTCTACGCCTGACTGCGCAGAGTCTCGTCGTTCATCCAGTAGTGAGAGGAACCAATCTACCTCGCCTCAACGTCTGTCAGTGGTTACTTTGCCATCTCCTTCCCATTCGGCGAAAAGAAGTGTTTCTTGCGTCCAGCTATCTCGATCTTCTGCTTCACTGAAGCCTGCCAGATCGAATCACAGTTCGCCGGATCACGCTTCGCCTGTCCGCTCCCCGACACCTCGACTTTCGCCGGACTGTCCACCTTCCCCAGAATTAGACTGGCTCTCTATGAAACAGCTTTCGCCGAACCGGTCTTCATCGAAACACCAGTCTAAGTTTCAGCATTCTCCGGATCGATCATCTGCTAAACAGACTTCACCTAATCGTACACGTCGAAACAACGTTCGCTGAAACGGAAGACTTCACCGAGACGGCATGTGGTGAATTGACTTTCACCGAAACGGCCTTCTTTCAAGCGGTATCCAACGGAATGCCTCTCTCCGGATCATCTGAGTACTTCCCCGAACTCTGTTGGATCCTACAGTCACGTCTCCTCAGCATGAATGCGGCTTTCACCGAGTCATCTGGATCAATCTCCTATTATTATTCGGATTTGTGCACCGGATAGACCTGGTAGATCTACTTCACCGCCGAGATGCCACTCTTCGATTCGTTCGCATTCAAATAGCACACACCTCCCTCTGCTTCGTGAGATCGTTTTTTCGCTCCAGGTCACCTCCTCGGACTTCGTTTTCTCGTCATCATGGGACTTCCGGTTCTGCGTACTCGACCCGTCAACCTAGATCTCCTACACGGTTGACTTCTGCCTATCGTTCAAGATCCAGGGATCGCCGTTATCGTTGCAATATCTCCCCCCCTCGCTCCCGTTCTCCTCAGCGGGTCTCCATTTGTGCATCCTCTCCTGGTTCTTCCCCCTCCAGACACAGATATGGTTCTACGGATCGTCGATCTAATCAACGGGGTTCCGAGCTTCGATCTCAGTGTGCTAAGACTTCTGACGGGACTCCTGCCTCCTTGCGTCTCTCTACTCGGAATGTACCAGATTCCTGGACTCCTGCGAAGGAAACTACCCCTCCCCCAGATCTGGCTGCGATGTTAAGTGCTCTTACTACTGCTTGGAACTAACAACAGGCTGCTCTCTCTACGGGGAATGCTCCTCCACTCAGACCATCTGTTACAGCACCTAGTCCTGGTGTTCCACCTGATCCTACGTCTCCAGCACATTTGGTTGTGGATTCCCCAGAGGGAAATTTGGATTTTGTCGATGAACCTCAAGATTTTTCCTTATCCTGACTCATGCTTATTTGCTTTCTCTTCCTTCCATGCGAATGGTAGTGGAACACTTAGAATCCCTTGTAGTTCCTTGAAGAGGACGTAAAAGTTCTCTCACCCACGAGTTGCCTCCCTTTTCCCGCGCAAACAGTCATGTGACCTGCCATGCTTGTCACTCTCTCCTTTATCGCCCAAGCGGATGGTTGGGCGATCACTGGAGACCCGTATATGGCACCATATCCTTTAATATTTAGATCCTGTATTCAAAATGAAGTTGTGTATGTTTTTGGTTATATTTAGTTTTCATGGTATGCCAAAATTCAGTGGCTGAGTCTTCTCCCCAAATGCCCGTCATGCATTAATCCATGTTCTTCCAGCTTTCGTTGCAGATACTGTATTAAATTATCAGATTTGCAATTTAATTATTTATCTTATATCTATAGACGGGTGATAGACCAGGAGAGGAATTCATCTCCAGTCACTGGTGATAATACCGGTAACCGTATGTTGTTAACTACTGCTGAAATTCAGGTGTTTCCCGAGTACGTTACAGGGGCAGTTGTCTGTTACTGGTCGGGACTGAGTCGAGTAAGAGGAGAGGTCTTCATCGTCTGCGGCGCAGAAGAATCGTCTTCATCGAGAACCTCGTTGAAGTCAACTCGTTCCAGTAAGACAACACATCAGAGGTTGTTTAATGAAGACATTGTGCCTCCTGACGAAGCAGACGTATATGCTGACTCTCCGACGCTACTGTCTGTAGTAACAGTAAGATGTACTAGAGTGACGACGCAGTCTACCTCCACGACGACACAATCGTCCCCTGCAACCATGACAGCTGTTCAGCTGTTTGACGACCAGCCTCCACAGACGTCTGTCAACAGAGACATCGCAGAGACATCAACATAGAATCATCGCAGCTGCAAGTAGATGCAGAATACGCCTCAGCGTTCTCGAACGCTTCATCTACTCAGCATTAGTTCCGGTCTACAACGCAGAACTTCGACCCCGATGACTTCATGATGCAGTTTGCAACTCAGATAATGGCGCGGATGGAGCAGAGGTTCGCCCAAGAGAGAGCTGCACGGCAGAACCCTACGATGACAGCCCGGCGAGAACCTGTTCCTGAGACATTCAGCCTCGTCCCACAAGCCTACGGCCGAAGACAACGTCAGCGAACGTAGATGTTCGGCAGACCCAGTCGTCTTGGAAGAAGAAGAGGTTCGGCAAACGTCCCTGAGTCTACAAGAGGTTCAGCGAATGTCCCTGAGTCTACAAGAGACTATGAAGTCACGTCAGCAAACCGACAACAACACAGAGAAATATCAGCAACGCAGACAGCTACAGGGTTCGCCAACCCTCAGATCAACAGGAGGAAGATTCGCGAAAGGAAGGTTTGCGGAAGGAACCTTCACGAAGGGAGCATTCACGAATGCACTATCGAAGACACAGTTCATCAGAGCGAGAATCGACTCATAGAACAGATGAAGAAAGTGAAGGCATCCTTTCGGATTCGGAAGTTACATCCTGGATCGCAAGTGGTCGGGACTTAGCGTCTCCATCCAAAGAGTCGAATGAAGTACTCACGTACAAGATGTTGAATGAGGATTTCGACTCTCTCACGATCCCGCCCATCGAACCGGAGTTCAGATCTGTTAAGGAAGACATCGTACCTTCCGGCGGAGTAGACGTTCACCTAGATTTTAAGACCAACGATTACGTTCACACATACTATTTCATCGTCGAGACGATCTTCCCCTGCAGTTACGACAGCTGCCCAGCTGTTTGATGATCAACCACCGGCAACGCAGACGTCTGTCATCAGGGATGAAGACAACGCCTCAGCGTTCATGAACGCGTACACTGCATGTTATCAAGTTCAGCCCACATCGCAGAACTTTGTCCCAGGTGTGTTAATGAAGCAAGTTACAACAATGTCAGACAACGTTCGAGAAAGCACCAAAGATGAATCTCCATCATGCATGCAGTCGTGAATGCAATGTTCGTAGATGCCAGACTGGCTACGCAAAGTTAACCTGCATGAAGAAGATGTTGTCAACTTTGCACGAATGCAGCTACATTCAGATTTTCCCCATTCGACATCGTGCCTGCACAGTTTACAAGAGATTAAGCGAACATACTGACAGTCGACGCCAGCCTAAGATTGGCATCATCGCAGTTCCTCATCGAGACATCGCATCCGTCCCAAAAGTTATTAGATTAACATTCAATTTGATTTATGTTTCGACTCTAAAATCAACGCCGCGGTGAAGTTATCAACGCTACAGTAACCTATTTGTGTATGACAACACAATTGGGGTGTGCAAGAATATTTTACAATGCTTCATTCAGACCGATTATTACTGACAACCAGCCTTTCTAGTTGAGGACAGAGAACTGTCTCACATGGACACAGCTATTCGTCGCTCCTTACCATCGATCAATTGCATCATCTCTGCGGTGGACGCGGTTGCGGCATCAGTGGAGAACTCTTTCATCGATCCAGATGCTTACATCAGGGGCTGTATGTCCCTTATACTGGATCAATTTCAGATCGTACTTGACCAGTTGTCTCATTTCCTTGGTTATCTCCTGGCAGTTTGACGTCATGCCCCGCTCAATTTGTCTTCATGGGATGACAGGTTTAAGGCTGAACTCTTCCGTCAACCGTGGTCTGCAGAATCTTTGTTTAATGGCATGATTGGGGAAGTTTCGGCGAAGGTGGATCTGGACACTCAATTTCAAGTTTCGGTGGAATTATTGAAACTCCATAAATCTCATCTGCAAGTTTCCATGATACAGAGAAGGCCTCCACGGTTCGTGCCGTCTCATCTGGAACTGCGTCAGGGTTTTCGTGGGCATTCGTCCTGAGCTAGAGGTAGCAGGTCCTCCCGTGGCACTTCTTCCCGACGTCCTCGCACGTCACGCCGAAGACCCGGGTTCGATTCCCCACATGGGTACAGTGTGTTAAGCCCATTTCTGGTGTTCCCCACTGTGATATTGCTGGAATATTGCTAAAAGCGGCGTAAAACTAAACTCACTCACTAGAACAGAACATTTGCGCCGGAGTTTGATGCAGTTCATTCCAACGCACCACTTGTTCGTCGAGTCATCGCTCAAAGGTTGGAGGGCTCACTTTCTTCATCATCAGACAGCCGGGCTGTGGTCGTCCACAAAACGGGACTTGCACATCAACAAACTCGAGTTCTTTGCGGTTTTTCTCACCATTCGACGTTGGGCGACGGAACTTCGGGGGTCCTCCCTGCTGATTCAGACAGACAACTCCACGGTCGTCTGGTACATCAACCATCTCGGTCGACAGGTTCGGCGAACCTTCTTCAGTTGTCGTTTCGGTTCTTCCATCTGATCGACTCCCTCACCATCAGAGTCAGGAATGTCATCACAGATGCGCTGTCCTGCACCGATCGGCCGTCTCCCACGGAGTGGCAATTGAACCCACAGATCTTTCGGGAACTGGTCTTCCTGTTATCAAGGCCCCAAGTCGACCTATTTCCCACGCTGTTTAACCATCTAGCGTGGGATCTCGACGCTCTGGCGATTTCGTGGGAGGGGCTCAACGCTTATGCCTTGCCCCCTCCGGCTCTTCTACCCAGAGTCACCCAGAAACTCTGGGCGACCAGGCAGATTCTACTTCTTTTGGTCGCGCCTTAATGGCCAGTCAGGAATTGCTTTGTCGATCTCGCACAGCTCGCAGACCTAAACCCAGTTCTTCTTCCTGATCGGGATGACCTACTGTTACACCCTCACTCGGATCGGTGTCATGTATCCCTTCGCACCCTGTCTCTGCACGTTTGGCGCATCTGCAGAAGTCCTTAATCGCCAAGGTGCATTCTCAGAGAGTGGCTATGGCCATCACTTTTGCTCATCGGACTTCCACCCGCTCACTTTATGATGAGAAGTGGAAATGTTTTGAGAGATATTGCACGTCCAGAGGCATTACATCTCCCGTTTCTACTTAGCCTCAAATCGTCGCTGAGTTTCTTCAGCATTTGCGGTCATCTAAGAAGCTCAAGGGTTCCACTTTGGCCACTTATCTTGCTGCGATCAACTCGGTCCTGGCTACCACCACAGGCTCTAAGGTCTCGACGGTTCCTGAGCTTCAGTATTTGCTCAGGTCCTTCAAGTTGGCCGATCAGTCTAAGAAGTTTAGACCTCCTGCATGGGATTTATCTGTGGTGCTGCGTCATTTGGCCTCAGCGGACTATGAACCCCTAGCTCAGAAGGACTTTGAGAAGATCTCCTTCAAGACCTTCTTCCTTGTGGCCTTGGCTACAGCTGCTCGGATTTCTGAACTCCATGCTTTGGACGTTAAACAGAGTCCAGTTCGAACGGAAGAAGCATGGCAAAGTCTTCCTCGGTCTCTGTTGGGATTTTGTAGTGAAGATTCAGTTGCCGGGACAACCCGATCGTACTTTTACCATCCCACCGTTGTCCACGATCCTCGGGCCGCATGACAATGAAGACCTGCAGCTTTGCCCTGTTAGGGCTTTGAAGATTTTTCTTGCTCCTTACAAAGATCGCCGCCTTCTCCGCAAGTGCCTCTTCATTCCGTTGTCCTCAACATCCAGGGCGGAAGTGTCTTGCACCACATTATCCTTCTGGATGAGAGCCACCATCCTACGGGCTTTCACCTTCGCTGGGTTACTGGCCCCGACAACTTCCAATCCACATGAGACACAGGCGTTAGCATCTACAATGGCTCTGCAGAGTAACTGCTCTCTCCACGCCATTATGGAAGGATGCTTCTGGTGATCCGACTCGGTCTTCTCCTCGCACTACCTTCGGGACCTCTCAGTCAAGAATGTCCAAGGCCTGTACCAGTTCGGACCCCTTGTTTTCGCACAACAGCTGTTTACGGCCCACCAAAGCAGATAGGGAACGGTCCCAAGCGGTTGCTGCTCTCCTGTATTTTCTTGAATATAAGTATGAACTTGATGTCTGCCTTATGTTTTGATTGCTTATGGGTTAGAACTACTTCACTGAGTTTTATACTAATACACGGAGATACTACCACCTTGGTGGTTGGCCGAATCTGGAGCTCGATTCTGTATCACGATGTGGAAGGGTTCGACATTTCACGTTTCCTGACCTCTACTCCCTGGGAGACGTTGTGCTTAGTAAGCCAAGGAGTTCAGAGGAACTCGTCACAAGCATAGGAGTTGGGCGCTAGTCGTAACAGGCCTCCCTTGTGCATTGCTATCTACAGTTGTTTCCAGTCTACACAGTTCTACTGTTTGCACTGACAAGACACAGGGTATCTGCGTCCACCGTCCGACCGTGGGATAAGTGCATACCGTGAGATAGGATAAGTTTAAAAATTTGGAAATTTTAAATATAAATTGTATATTTATATACTTATCCTATCTCATGCGACGGATTCTTGCCCATCCTCCCCGCTATGCAGATTCTCCAAGATTGATATTCCAGTGGCTCCAAGAATGAGAATGATGATTCAAAGGTAGTCACGTGGGTAGCTAGTGGTGCATGCCGCATGCTTTGCATGACAACTAGGAAGCTGTCTTATAATGAGGGTAGCATGGAGTGCTTGGGCCGGATGGACAAGAGAGGCCAAGGGGGAAAGTTTACATCGTTCCACTCAGTATCGAATCAAGAGAGAGAAGTGCATACCATGAGATAGGATAAGTATATAAATATATGATTTATATTTAAACTTTCCAATTTTAACTACTGATTTACAGATTATTATATTTGTTTATCTGTGTGAAAAACAGGATAAGTGAAATAAAAAAGAAGAATCAAGTTGGGTTTTTTGTGCATCTGTGAAATGTTTGTTGGGTTTTCAGACTCTGTTGGAGACAAACCTTGGTCGTCTGCAGGTGGAGCTGTACAAGGAAATTAAGAAGTGTGGTCCCTCACGTAGTCTTAGGGGAGCACTTTGGAGGTTTGCTGACATGTGCCATTTAATCAGGCCACAGAAGTGCAGGTAGATTGTGTGTTTGGGATCTTATCTGTTATTCAGAGGTTTTCTTATCCAGTCAGTCATAGGCTGCCATGATATACCTTTTATTGTGGTCCTCAGAGGTTTGCCATGATATACCATTTAATCCACGCTCAGTCATAGGGGAGCTGCCATGATATACCATTTAATGTGTTATTACTGCAACCTCTTTGCATTTTCTTCTAGTTGCTCAGACAATCAGCAGAAATATTCCTTAGTTTGCATGGATATTGTTTTGCAGTGTTACTTAACCATGAATACTTAATGTTGTTGTAACAATGGAAAACATGTTCAAATAGAATATTAGCTGAGTTATTATCGTACAGTGAAACCTGCCAACACCAGCACCTGTCTAATCCAGCACACTGTCAAAACCGGCATAAAAGTTTAGTCCAGCCATTTTAGAACAATATTATGATCATTAAAACATTGTCTAATCCGGCACCTCTCTATTCCGTATTCTGGCACAACTTTCCGGTCCCAACAAGCAATTTTAACTGTAATTAACACTCTCTAAACCGGCATGGGTATGAGCAGTCCAATCAAGGTCCCATAATTCAATAAATTCATTCATCCTCTTGGCTGGCTAGATAATCAGGAAGTAGTGATTGCGTGGTGAATCAAACGCTCTAAGCCGGCATGAGCATGAGCAGTCCAATCAAGGTCCCTTAATCCAATACACTCCTCTCGGCAACCTAGACGAGACACTGGCTAACTGTTTTTATTGTCTGTCATCAACATTGTTTTAATTTGTTGCACAATTACAAAAGATCAAAGGCATTATAGAGATAAAGAGATTGACGAGTGTAAATGGCATTGGAAAATGATCGTCACTGTCTAATCCGGCACCCTGTCTAAACCGTCATTATATTTCTGTCCTGTGGGGTGCCGCTTTGGACAGGTTTCACTGTACTGTTAAAGTAGGGTCTAATATTTTATGTTATGTATGATGAAATATAACTTGCTGAAGCTTCATACCATACTGATTTTCTCATATGTTATTTCCATTATCTTGTTTATGCCAATATCAGCTTACAAGGGAGGTAACTCTCAGAAAGTTTGTAATGTTTGGGGTAATTATGGGTTGTTAAGGGGAATGAAATTCATGATGTTTCTCTCTTTCACAGACCCTACATTGTCAATTTACTCCCTTGTTTGGCACGCATCTGTCGCCGTGATGATGAAGAAGCTGTCCAGGAGACTTTATCTACTTCCATGCAGAAGATCTGTCCTGGCCTAATGGGCTTTGCTAATGACACAGAAGTTAAAGGTTTACTGAAAGCATTCCTACCAAATCTGAAATCTAACTCTGCCGTGTGTCGACGTACAGCAGCAAGCAGCCTCACTCTCATCTGCCAATACTCCCGTTGTCCAATCACCTTCTTCTCGTATCTCATCACCATTCTGCTAGGTAAGACCGTGCTCATGTTACAGTTACATGTTATTGTGGCTAATGTTAAAGGTATTTGTATAATGCAGAGCTAGTGATATAGGTATTTATACCATTGAGAGCTTGTGTTAAAGGAATCTGTGTATTCCTGAGCTAGTGTTACCGATATTTGTACGTTTCAGAGCTTGTGTTACAGGTGTTTGTGTCTTGCAGAGCTGACGTTATAGCTGCTTGTGTCTTTCAGAGCTTGTGTTGCCAGTGGATGTGGAGCATGATGTATACACGCTGCTGGGTGTGATCCTGTGTATGCGGACAATCATCCCCCAACTGGTGCAGTCAGACACGCGGGACCAGGGGCTAAAGGGCAGCTTTGGGGTCATCCAGAAGGAGAAGGAAGAGGGGGTCAACTATGATCAGATTCTCAAGGTCACGTATATATTTCACTTAATCGGTTACTACTTTGTTTTTCATCATACAGTGATGTAGTTATTTAGTTATTGTGTGACATCTTAGACAATTGTTTCTCTATCATTTACAGATGTTCCAGCTACTTTTGTTCTACACAAACCACCCTGACCACAACGTTGTGACGGCAGCACTGGAGGCGCTACAGCAACTTCTGCGCACACCTCCGCCTCAGCTCCGTTCAATTCTGTTGGCTTCTGGCAGCATACAGAGGACCCTGATCTATCAAAAAGATTTTGAGGAGAGGGAACGCTTTAGGCTAGAAAGTGAGTATCTCGGTTTTCACAAATCACTTTTGTAGTGAATATAGTGGTCGCCTGGTGACGATGCTGACAGATTGGTATATAGGTTATATGTTTGTTTGTTTGTTTGTTGTTTAATGCCATGCTCAGCAATATTCCAGCTATATTACGTTGGTCTGTAAATAATCAAACTGGACCAGACAATCCAGTCATGAACAGCATGAGCATCAATATAGGCAATTGGGATATGATGATATGTGTCAATCAAGTCAGCATGGCCGACCACCCGATCTAGCTAATTGCTTCTTACAACAACCATGGTTTGCGGAAGACAAATTCTAACCAAAATCTTTACAGGTATTGGGTTATAACTTATATGAATGTAGTTAAGTATTACACCTGGCCAGAGACTGGTATAAGCATATAGTCCCCACCCAAATTCTTGTCAAGATATACTAGGGCCTATCCTCATCACACTGAAGCCTTAGCTCACTCCCTCCTCCTCACCCCCTACCCAGTCCCCGAGTTCCAGTCTGTATTTACTTTTATTTCTGGAAACTTCTGTAAAACAACTGTTTGAATACCTTCTTGGAAGGATGAAAGATTCTTTACTTTTACCAGGTTCAGCGGAGCTGCCAACCATCTCTGATGACACTGGTCTGGAGGAAGAAGAAGGCTCTGATGTGACAGGGCAGACGGCATCATCATCTGGTACTTTTGCTTTTGTATCTGACCTTGACCCAGGATCAGTTGAAGGTCTTAATATGCGGAGGCTGTCGGCTGATTCGAGACGAGAGGGCAAATCTGAATCTGATCTGACAGACTTGATGGCAGGATCAGACGCAACTGTGGTTGTGACAACAGATAATGACTATTCCAATGTTGAAATAGGGGATTTAAATGAAGAAAAGTCTGAACGTTCCACATTATCACACAGCAGTAGTGTTGAAACTCTTCTAAGCATCAAGAGTCTGAGCCCCAAACGAAGGCCATCTTTGAGGAAAGGTGTGAGTCAGGACTTGAATGGAAACCCAGAGTATGACCTCCTAGGGGGCTCAGATACCCCGGATAGGTCATCTCCCCTTCCCAGTCCAGTACCTCCAGGAATGAGAGAGGATGCGGTCAATGATATCGGTTCACTGTTAGATGAGGAGCTTCCGCTGCTATACTGTGTTCGCTTATTGTGCCGAGGGTTCTTGTTGAATGGAAGTGAAGGGGGCCTTCTTCCAGATAAAGTTGCCCGAGTGAGCCTCAAGTCACTGGCTCTCAGCTGTGTTGCTTCAGCATTATCTCTCTGCCCAAAGATCTTCCTCTACAAGCTGTTTCCCCGTGATCTGGAGAGTGAGTATTATTTTTCATGTTCATGTATTTTCCAAAACATCCCAACCGATTCTAGGTTTATCGGCGACTTTTCAGAATTATTTAGATGTGTTTCTTCACAGCAGTCGAAATGTTTGTTTTTGTTCCGAGGTTTAGCCGTAAAGATGCCATTTTGACGGACGACCGAGAGTAATGCTTACGTGTTTACGTCGCTGAATTGTGGGAAATATTTAGTGGAATCCCCGAATTTAATGAAAATGTTTACATTAGGACGTCATTAGATAATGATACGCTAATAAGTGTTTGATACAACCGTTTTTAATGTTGCCATTAACTAATGATGCATTAAAGATTTAATGTATCATTAGAGTTTAATGTTGACATTAGTTAATGAAGCAATGATACAACCGGATCCTGGCAATCAAAAGTGATCTCACAAAAATACAATGGGTTTCTTACACATGTAAGAGACTATAATTTTGAGCTCTTATTGTTTATGGGGCGGTGGGATAGCCTACTGGTTAAAGCACGCTGAAAACACGGATCGATTCCCCACATGGGTACAATGTGTGAAGCCCATTTCTGGTGTCCCTCACTGAGATTTTGCTGAAATGTTTCTAAAAGCAGCGTAAAACTAAATTCACTCACTCACTCTTATTGTTTAGTTCATGTGGCAGTAAATATGTGACAAATGAACACTTTTGTTCAGGTGGTAATCAACACATCAGGGAAGTCATCCTGTATGCCAGTCACCCTGACCCCCAGCTCAAGGGAACAACTGCCATGGTGATCGGAAGCCTCATCAAGGCTGTGCTTACAGAAGGGAGAGGGGGACTTCAAGAAGTGGCTCAAGAAACATTCCCCAGCTGACATAGGTCAGTATTCCAGCAACTGTAGCCTCACACTCACAGTTCTACGGTGGGGTAGCCTAGTGGTAAAAGCATCTGCTCGTCACACTGAAGACCTGGGTTCGATTCCCCACATGGGTACAATGTGGGCAGAGGTGCCAACCACTCCGATTTTCAAATTAAAAATCTGCTCTCCGATTTCTCTTTAAAAACTGATTTATTTGAGTGAACACTGGTAAAAGCATTCGGAAGCTTAGCGTGTGATCCTTTGGGTGTCGATTCTGTATATTGCGTGTTATTGACGATGAAGTTTCACAAAGTTTTTCCGAATGCATGTCATAGTCCTTATGAAAATGAAACAAAATGGCAGAGCCGACCACACGCTCACCCCCAACTCGCACTTTTGGTGGTCAGGCCTGGCTTTAGCCACTCATGACTCCGATTTCCTTAGATTCAGGGTTGGCATCTCTGTGTGTGAAGCCCATTTCTGGTGTCCGTGATATTGCTGGAATATTGCTCAAAGCAGTGTAAAACCATACTCACTCACTCACAATTCTGTGTCTCCAATCCAATCCATGATATAACTGTTTGTTTGTTCATTGTTTTATGCCACAGTCACGCTTGGACAAAACATTTGAAGTGATAAGTGTGTGTGAATTGCATTCTCAGCTCCCTTGGAAGTATGCTTGCTCTAAATATGGGAATGGGAATATTAAGTGGTAGTGTTGCTGAACAAGTTTTAAAATTTTCCAATGAAACAGTTCATTGCATGTATCATCAGATTATACGTTTTCGCACAACACACATTTCTTGGGCAGCAGTGTTTATTCATGCTAATACAAGGTGTGTTGTGTCACAAAGACATTGTAAATACTCAGATAATGGTTGGCTTTTATCATTAAGTTGTCTTTTATAAGTTACTGGGATATTACAGTTTTGCATGTGATTAGCAAGAAAACAACAAATATTCATTAAGTGATGAAAAATCCATTATATAAGGCCAAGTTGTTATTAACCCTGGCAGTGTATGTGATGGTGTATGTGCAGGTGAGCTGTCACTGGAACACCTGATGGAGACCTTAGTACACATCATGTATGACCAGTCATCTGTGGCTATCCGACTGACACTGATCGCCCTACAGATGTGTCTGTCCAACCTCCTGGAGAGCTGCCATGGCAAGGTTGGGATCAGTGTCATGCTGGATCTCCTGGATGTCAAGAACAACCCGTATTGGCTGGTCAAGGTATGCACTTACATGTTAACAGGCCGTATTCACTGGTCAAGATATATATGTTCACATTTGATAATGCCCAGACTGGTTGGTCAAGGTATGCAAGACTGGTTGTCAAGGTATGCACTTACATGTTAACAGTCCGTATTCACTGGTCAAGTGTAGTGTCCTGTTGTAAGTGTAGTTCACTGTCAAGTTGTTAATGGCCAGATGGAAGTGTCAGGTGTTCAAGTATATGTTCACATTGTAATGTCCAGACTGGTTGGTCAAGGTATGCACTTACATGTTAACAGGCTTCACTGGTCAAGATATATGTGTCCATGTAATGTAGACTGGTTGGTCAAGGTATGCACTTACATGTTAACAGGCCGTATTCACTGGTCAAGATATATATGTTCACATTGGATAATGGCCAGACTGGTTGGTCAAGGTATGCACTTACATGTTAACAGGCCGTATTGTCCTGGTCAAGTGTAGTGTCCTGTTGTAATTGTAGTGCCGTCTTGTATGTGTGTTGTGTCCTGTTGTAAGTGTAGTGTCCTGTTGTAATTGTAGTGTCCTCACTGGTCGTGCCCTGATATATATGTGTCACATTTGTAATGTGTAGTGTCCTGTTGTAAGTGTAAGTGTCCTGTAATGTAGACTGGTGTAAGTGCCCTCTTGTATGTGTAGTGTCCTGTTGTAAGTGTAGTGTCCTGTTGTAAGTGTAGTGTCCTATTGTAAGTGTAGTGTCCTGTTGTAAGTGTAGTGTCCTGTTGTAAGTGTAGTGTCCTGTTGTAAGTGTAGTGTCCTGTTGTAAGTGTATTGTTCTATCATTCAGGTGGAGCTGCTTGAACTACTGGGCAGTATCAACTTCAAGGTGGTATGCTACCTGGGCACTCTCTGCAAGGATCACAAGAAGGGCAGCCATAACTTCCTCGGGGTTAGTGCCTCAGTCATATCTCACATCACACCTTTGGTTGTTTTCCTATACTTTTGATAGGAAAAGGGATTACAAATTGATGAAAATAAATTGCATTTTGCCAACTACCTTCAGTCATGTGAACCCAGTGTGACAAAATGGGGTTACATACATTATGGATGTGTTGTTAATGGAGAGTTACAGTCTAATTAATATGTTCTGTCCTCAGAGACTGAATTTACAGGACCACTATTTGAGTCATGTGATCATTCCACTGCTGGGAGATGAAGATGGCCGAGTCAGGCATGCAGCATCAAGAACATTGCTCAGGTAAACAGTTACCAACGAGATCAACTGCCATACTTATCAATATTAGCTGATAGTAAATCCCTGTTTAGGATTGCGGTTAGATCCTTAAAAACCAATACTTGGTGACTTGGTTGTTGGCTCTACCCGAAGACCGGGTTCGAATCCCATAAGGAGCCCATTTCTGGTGTGTCCCCACCGTGATATTGCTGGAATATTGCTAAAAGCGTGAAAACAATATATTGATAACTGGATTGATAACTGGGTTGTCTGATCTAGATTTGAATATTTACATGCCTTGTTGTATTACTATACTATTGCTGTGTGATGTAAGAATACAAACAAAACAGACAAATGTTTTCACAATCATTAATCATATTTGAGGAACCCTGTGGTGGTTCTAGTTTTGATGGAGAAGGGACCAGATGGGTCTGCTGATGAGCAAGGTACTATGGACATTGGTTAATGATGTTTCAATGTCCCCGGGCGGTGGGGTAGCCTAGTGGTTAAAGCGTTGGCTCATCACGCCGAAGACCTGGGTTCGACTGACTGACTGACTGACTGACTGAGTTTAGTTTTATGCCGCTTTTAGCAATATTCCAGCAACATCATGGCAGGGGACACCAGAAATGGGCTTCACACAATTTACCCATGTGGGGATTCGAACCCGGGTCTTCGGCGTGACGAGCCAACGCTTTAACCACTAGGCTACCCCACCGCCCCACCTGGGTTCGAATCCCCACATGGGTACAATGTGTGAAGCCCATTTCTGGTGTCCCCAGCCGTGATGTTGCTGGAATATTGCTAAAAGCGGCGTAAACCACACTCAGTCAGTCAGTCAGTTCAATGTCCCCAGACAGTGTGGATTGTGTCAATGTTAGTCACTATTGTCTGGTCCAGACTTAATTATTTAAACACATGCATTACATGGCTTGAATTGTCAACTATTCAGTCAACGCATTATCAAGGGTTAAGATCAACCTTGAGTGAGTGTGAGAGGGAGTGAGTGAGTTTGGTTTTTCACCACTATTAGCAATGTGCAAGCGCGGATACAGGATTTTCGTTTGGGGAGGGTGCACCCCAATCCTCGGAACCCTGGGACAAACGTGTTTGGAACACTCTGGGGAACCTGCACACCCCCACCCCCTCTGAATTCAGCAGATGTGCCAGCAATATCATGGTAGGGGACATAAAAAATGGGCTTCACACACTGTGACCATATGGGGAATCATACCTGGGCCTTCATCGAGACGAGTGAATGCTTTAGCCACTGGGCTACCCCGCCACTCAAGATCAACCTGGAAGATAAGAACTTAATCTATGGTCATGTGATTATTTTGAAAGCAAGCTGATTTTGTATTTTTATTTTAATGTTTTTTTCACTGCCAGGCTTGTTCCCAAACTCTTCTTTGCTGTTGACAACTGCCAACAAGACCCGGTGACAGCTATTGCCAGAGATCTGACAGATGGTTTGATGTATCCCCTGATGTCCGAGTGGGCAGAGGAGCCTCCACCCCTCGTACAGGGGCTGATCCCCCCATACCACTTCTCACCCACGTTCACCATCAAGCCCCACCTAGAGAGCAGTCTGTCTAGGGTGGTCCAATTTCTCCTGCAGCAGCTGCACACAGCACAAACCAAACATTTGACAGTGAGTGGTCAAAGATAGTAGTTGATGGTCCAACATCTGACAGAGGTCAAACCTTTGAAGTTAGTGGCAGAACATTTTACAATGACTGACTCATTTGACAGTCTGTAGCTGAACGTGTTACACTTAATGGTCCAAGATTTGACAGTGAGTGGCCAAATATACTATAGTTTGTGGTCGAAAATCTGACTTGGTTGTCAGAATTTTGACAGTTAGTTGAAAAACATTTAGCAATTACAGGCCAAACATTTGACTGAGTGGTGAAACAATTGAATGTGTTTCTGTTACTGGTCAAAATTCTGATAGTGATTGGCCAATCTTTTGATAGTAAATAAAACATTAGATAGTTCGTGGCCAGATGTCGGACAGTGACTGACAAAACCTTTACCTCAGTGGTCAAACATTTGACAGTGACCAAACACCTGATAGTTGATGATTAAGATTGGAGAGTGAGTGGCCAAATATTTGACGGTGACCAACACTGCCAGTGACTGTCCAAGACTTGACAGTCGATGGCCAACATTTGATAGTGTGTGTCCAACTTTTCACTGTTGCCAACATTGACAGTGATAGGGCAACATTTACAGTCACTGAACTCTCATTTAACAATACTGAACAGGAATAGTTAACATGTTCCAAAATATATTTATTGTTGTAACATATTACATGCAACAACACTGTAACTTAATCATATCATTATCAACTGTTTCATGTGCTTTTCCAGAGTGGATGTTGTCATGCTATGTGTCTGCTGTCGGAGGAGTACCTCGTGTCCTGCTACGCCTCATCCTGGGGATGTGGCCCGGCGACACCGCTAATTCCCAAAGATAGCTCAAATAGAATTAACATGAAGAGGCCTCCAAGCCTCTCGCTGAGCTCCTCCAGGTATGTGTATGGAGGTATTTGTCAGTGTTATGTTCGTCCTGAAATACTGTTGGAAGTCAAGGACAGGTTACAACAAACTTAACAAACTTTTAATGGCTGGGACTCAAATCACAAAGCATTTAATGGCGGGGTCCTCCTTAGCCTTAGTGTCACTAAGGTGTTAAGGAATGGGAGTTAAATCTTAGTAAAGGTTGCTTCATGACAGTAGCCCCAGATAGGTTGTTGAGAAGGATTTCAAATGGTGACTAAACAAAAATGTTTCATTTTGTGTAGTCATTTTAACATAAATTCACAGTTGCATGGCGTAGAATGTGTCCCTAGAAGGTCATTGCTAGTCATCAGAGGCTACTTGATTGAAGCCCTCTGGACATTGGTCCATAAATACACCCATGCTTGTATCAATTAGCATCTTGATGGATCAGATGCAAGGCTGGTAATTTGGTTGATGGCGTTTCAGTCTACCCTGACAGTATAGAACAAACTTTATGGATAACAACTTCTTTTTATTCGTGAGTGCGACGTTTCGATACAGATTCTTGTACCGTTGTTACCCTGACAGTGTGAATTGTTGATCATCATAACTAACACTGGATTGTCAGATCCATACTTTGTTATTTACAGGCTGATGTTATACAGTTTTTACCGACACAAACACACTGATGTTCAAAGTTGTCATATTATATGGACAACTATTTCCTAGAAATATATTGTACCAAGTCTATAATGAAAGGTTATCTGTATTGAGATGTGTACTACAGTGATAATGTTAGTCACATACTCTTAAAAGATACCCATTTCTGGTGACCCCTGCCATGATATTGCTGGAATATGGCTAAAAGTTTGGCTTGTTTTATGTTGTTCTGTTTGGTGTCAGTTCTGGTTGTGTTGTGGGTTTCTGTTGTACCTGGCTGTCAGGTTTTTAGTTGACTAAGTGTGGACGCTGTATGTTGACTGTTCAGTACTTTCAGCCTAGAGGAGTTGACATCGGGGTCTGGGGGTGGTCCCCTGCCTGTTATCCTGGCCCTGCTGTTATCGTCACCCGCAGCCCTCGACCTCTCCACACATCAGGATCTCATTCAGCTGGCAGGGAACCTCCTAGCAGGTAAACAGTAGCCGTCCTCCTTGTGGGTTTGGGTTGAATCCCAATAGTAATTATGTGATACACATGGATAGAGTTTTACCCCTATTCCTGGACACCAATAGATAGATTGTTACCCCTATTCCTGGACACACATGGATAGATTGTTACCCTATATAGATTGTTACCCTATTCCTGGACACCCATGGATAGATTGTTACCCTATTCCTGGACACCCATGGATAGATTGTTACCCTATTCCTGGACACCCATGGATAGATTCTTACCCTATTCCTGGACACCCATGGATAGATTGTTACCCTATTCCTGGACACCCATGGATAGATTGTTACCCTATTCCTGGACACCCTGGATAGATTGTTACCCTATTCCTGGACACCCATGGATAGATTGTTATCCCTATTCCTGGACACCCATGGATAGATTGTTACCCTATTCCTGGACACCCATGGGTAGATTGTTACCCTATTCCTGGACACCCATGGGTAGATTGTTACCATATTCCTGGACACCCATGAGTAGATTGTAATCCCTATTCATGGACACCCATGGATAGATTGTTACCCTATTCCTGGTTACCTATGGATAGAATGTTGCCCCAATCCTTTGACACCCATGGATAGATTGTTTCCCTATTACTGGACACCCATTGTTACCCTATTCCTGCACACCCATGGATAGATTGTTACCCTATTCCTGGACACCCATGGGTAGATTGTTACCCTATTCCTGGACACCCATGGATAGATTGTTACCCTATTCCTGGACACCCATGGATAGATTGTTACCCTATTCCTGGACACCCATAGATGGATTGTTACCCTATTCCTGGACACCCATGGATAGATTGTTACCCCTATTCCTGGACACCCATGGATAGATTGTTACCCTGTTCCTGGACACCCATTGATGGATTGTTACCCCTATTCCTGGACACCCATGGATAGATTGTTACCCTTTTCATGGACACCCATGATAGATTGTTACCCTATTCCTGGACACCCATTGTTAGATTGTTACCCCAATTCCTGGACACCAATAGATAGATTGTTACCCCTATTCCTGGACACCCATTGATAGATTGTTACCCTGTTCCTGGACACCCATGATAGATTGTTACCCTGTTCCTGGACACCCATAGATGGATTGTTACCCCTATTCCTGGACACCCATGGATAGATTGTTACCCTTTTCATGGACACCCATGATAGATTGTTACCCTATTCCTGGACACCCATGGATAGATTGTTACCCCAATTCCTGGATGGCCATGGATAGATTGTTGTCCCTATTCCTGGACACCCATTGTTAGATTGTTGTCCCTATTCCTGGACACCCATGGTTAGATTGTTATCCCTATTCCTGACACCCATGGATAGATTGTTACCCCTATTCCTGGACACCCATGGTTAGATTGTTACCCTATTCCTGGACACCCATGATTAGATTGTTGTCTCTATTCCTGGACACCCATGGTTAGATTGTTGTCTCTATTCCTGGACACCCATTGTTAGATTGTTACACCTATTCTTGGACACCCATTGTTAGAATGTTACCCCTATTCCTGGACACCCATGGATAGATTGTTGTCTCTATTCCTGGACACCCATGGATAGATTGTTATCCATTTTCCTGGACACCCATGGTTAGATTGTTACACCTATTCTTGGACACCCATTGTTATATTGTTACCCCTATTCCTGGACACCCATTGTTAGATTGTTACACCTATTCTTGGACATTGCTGGTTGCATCCAAACTCCCATCTAGAAGTTCATTCCTTTTGGTTCCATTTCCACCACATCAGGCTCTGCCTTTAAGACATTCCGCGGATCTGACGAGACGGCAAGCCTGGCAGGGTCGGGGGATGAGGGCAAGTGGGCATCAGTCAGTGACAGGCTGCTGGTTCCTATGATAGAACAACTTCTCAGCCATGTGGCCAGGTGAGTAATACCTCTCATAACCACTGCCCCATTATACAGATTGTGAGGTTGTAAAAATGCCCATACTTAAATGCACTCACTCAAACATGCACAACTGTCTAATACAAACCAGCATATATAGATTTGTTATTCTATGAGATTTTGTTACCAGTCTGTTTGTTGTAGGGTGGTCTTTCTTTGATTACCAAGCCCCTTGTCCAAATCAGATTCTCTAATTGTCCTTGACAGGGTGCTGAACGCCTGTGCCCATGTGATAGATGAGCAAGTGCCAGGTCCCCCACAGATGAAGCCCTCCCTCCCCTCCCTACCCAATGCCCCCTCCCTCAGCCCAGTCAAGCGGAAGGTGAAGGGAGACAAGGAGTCACAGGGCTGGAGCAGGGGCAGGGCAGGCGGGTGATGCCAAGGCTGACAAGAAAACACCTCAGAAAGGTTGGTGTATATCAGGGGCATCACAAGATGCCTACCTCACACATCAATACATATTGTGACACTTGAGTAGTATTCTGAAATAGGCTTGGTGGGTAGCCTAGTGGTTAAAGCGTTCCCTCGTCATGTTGAAGGCCTGTGTTCGATTCCCCATGGGTAGAATGTGTGAAGCCCATTTCTGGTGTCCCCTGTCGTGATATTGCTGGAATATTGCTAAAAGCGGCGTAAGACCCAACTCACTCACTTACTCACTATATACTGAAATCCATTTGAAATGCATCACCAAAATGAAACATTTTATCTCCCTGATAAATGAAAAAACGAACTTGTCCCTACTGACATTAAAATTGTCAATGCTGACGGTTTCACTGTATGCAAACTAGGATGTTATCACAGTGTATTTCGAGTTTTCAAATAGGTAATCAGTGTTGCAAGGTTTAACAATAAAGTCTTTCCTGAACACAGACCAGAAGGAACCTGAGAAGGAGAAGAGCAAGAAGGATGGACTGGGAATGTTCTACAGCCTACCACAGTATATGAAGGTGTATGAGATGCTCAAGGGAGCCTACTCTAACTACAAGGTGAGTCAGGGGAGGCAACTCTGTATAGCATGAATACCGTTCATAGGGTGTAATGTGTCTTTACTCAAATTGTTAACTACCTCATAGGAAAGTCATAAATGGGAGACTGTACTCCACTTTCTTATTTTACTAGGCATTAAGAGTACTGTGTGTTAAATTGACTCATTATCTCATCATTAGGTGTGAGATGAAATTTGAGTGTTCCGGCTCAGAGAGTGTGTTCTTAATGAAATTAGCTTGGACTGTCCATGTGTGTAAGGTAAGTATTTCTCCATATTGCATATAATAAGAACATAGTGGATTGTGATTCTTGATAAGTAGCCTAGGTATGATGTAAATAAGGATTCAAACTCTGACAACATTCCTTCTATGTTTCCTGTCAGTTTGCTGAAAATGTTTTCTTAAATTCCACAATGTTTGTCTGTATGTATACCACCTGCCAGTCAGCCAGCTATACCACTAATGTCTGACCGTCCCCAGATCTCCCTGGACCTGAACAGCTCTGACAAGTTCTGTAACCTGCTGAAGGTGACACTGGCTGTCTTCTCCCAGATCCTGGAGATCGCCACACTGTTCGACATTGGGAAGTATGCCGAGGAGTTCCTGGGCTACCTCAAGAGCACTATGACCATGGAACCAACTTTCACAGTATTGTGTGTCCAGCAGGTAATGTAGCCTGGGTCATTAAGACTATTCTTTTTCATAGAGATCGTCCTTGGGGTAGGGCCGCCCGCCTCCCCGCAATTCTGTTCACTGATTTATTCAGCAGAAGGAATGATGATACGGGCCTAGGTGCTTACATGGTTCGCTACGCATGCGTAGCGGGAGGTAACTCCACAGGGTGGGGGCCGTACAATAGATAAAAAAGACTTTATTTATTGTACAATATTTTTATTAAAACATTGATACAACTGTCACAGGACATTTTCAGCTGCAGAAAATGCATATATGTACCCCAAGGACGACTCTCTTCAAAGAATTGAAAACCTCTACAGGTTTGGTTAAATTCTTTGTACAGTTAGTAGGTTGGTGTGAGTGACTTGGTTTACAGTATGTGAACATACTAGTCAGACATAATTACTGGTATTTGCAGGGGTGGAAATAACCCATTGCCCGACGTCCGAGTCCAGTGTTTTTTTCTGTTGGGCAAGCAAATTTGAATATTACACTGTACCGGTGTCCAGTTGACTTTCCAACGTTAATTATGTTGTTTATGTAAAAAATCAACAAGAAAACGGCCGGTATAGTGGAAAAATTATCAGGGCAAGTGATTTTACATGTGCCACTGTGCCGTAGTACACTAGCAATTTAAGGTTATTTCCACCCCTGATTTGTATAAGAGCTAGAATATTGATTACCACAACAACAATGTCAACAATGCTGCCAATCCAACATAAACAGATAATCACTAAAGACTGTTGTTGTTTGAACTTGCAGCTGTTGAAGGCTCTGTTTGGCACCAACCTTGCCAACCAGTGGGAGCCCCAGCAGAGTGTGTTCCATAGCCGCAAGCCTGGCAAGTCCATGAGGGTAATGACAGGCCTGAAGCCAGGCATCTACCAGTGTTGTCTCAACCAGCCCTACTCACTCATGACCCACTCCTTCGCTGGGGCCTTCCTCCGAGCAGCCAACCAGACAGACCAGGAGGAGTCGCAGAGGTCAGCCATAAACGCTTTCTTACGCTAACCAGCATTGTGATTTGATGTGCCAGAGTTGTGTTTCTCCAGTGTAATAATAGACTGATCAAATCCATGGCATCACTCACCATACCTATACTCATCAGCACTATTTGTATATTCAATGGGGGCGGTGGGGTAGCCTAGTGGTTAAAGTGTTGGCTTGTCACGCCGAAGACCGGGTTCGAATCCCCACATGGGTACAATGTGTGAAGCCCATTTCTGGTGTTCCCCGCCGTGATGTTGCTGGAATATTGCTAAAAGCGGCGTAAAACCAAACTCAGTCAGTCAGTATTTTCAATGAAGTCTTCAAAGAGGAGAGACACATACTTGTATTTTACGGTTTGTTTTGGTAAAGGTGAGGTAATGCCGAGGAGAGTAGTTATTAGGCTGGTTTATTGTAAACTTTTGTCAAGCGATAAAAATACAAACCAACTGTTTTCATCTCTTGGGATTTTGTCACACATTTAGCTGTATCTGCTTAAAGTGTTCATTCATCAATACAAAGACCTGGACTTGATTTCCTGTATGGATATCATTTGGACACCCATTTCTGGTTTCATGGCATGTGTTGCTGTTTTGTTGCAGTTCACTAACGTGGTTGAGGAAGAGAGTGGAGAGGAAAACTCCAGCTATCCTAAAGCCTGGTAGCAAAGTCGATAAGGTATAGCAATGTCTTCAACAACATCCACTCACCATCATGGTATAAATAATGGTCAGATATAACGATATGTCATTTAGAGAAGTATACCATGAGATGGTAACTTTTGTGTTTGCTGCCATTCTTTTTCATAGAGAAATATAGACCATACATACAGTTGTTGGAGTCTCAGACATTCTTTCACAATAGAAGTAATTCAGCTATGAACTCGGAACACGTGTGAACGCTTGAGTGACAGCAGAAGGAATGATGATATGGGCCTAGGTGCTTACCTGGTTGGCTGCGCATGCGTAGCAGGGAGGTAACTCGACGTGGTGGGGGCTGTATAATAAATAAAAAAGATTCTTATTTATTGTACAATATTTTTATTAAAACATTGATACAACTGTCACATGACATTTTCAGCTGCAGAAAATGCATATATGTACCCCAAGGACAACTCTCTTCAAAGAGTTGGAAACCTCTACAGGTTTAGCTAAATTTGATGCACTGTGAGTCCCTTTTGTATATGTTTGTACCAAAAGTACTTCATTCCAGACCTAGGGGCCATATGGTGGCCTAGTAGTTACAGTGTCCACTCATCACAATGAAGACCTGAGTTTGATTCCCCACATGGGTACAATCTGTGATGCCCATTTCTGGTGTCACCCACCATGATATTGCTAGAATATTGCTAAAAGTGGCGTAAAACCAGTACTCACTCGACTCATTCCAGATTTATAGTCATCCTGAAGTTCTTTTTATATTTTCTTGTGTTTCAGTCCGCAATAGCATCCTACATCCGCCTGTTTGAACCGTTGGTCATCAAATCCTTGAAGCAGTACACTGTAACAAGCTCACTGGAACTCCAGCGCCAAGTTCTTGACCTTCTAGCCCAGCTGGTGCAACTCAGAGTCAACTACTGTCTCCTTGACTCAGACCAGATCTTCATTGGTTTTGTTCTAAAACAGTTTGAGTTCATTGAGGAGGGTCAGATCAGGTGCGATAGACACTTTGCTTTCCAGAATATTCTTGGTTTGAACGTTTTATTTTCATGTCAGATTTTTCCAGCATCTCTGTAAAATATGCGCTGTCCTTTGGGATTCTTGTAGAATACCCAAATTTGTTTTGAGTGCAGACTATGTTATCCAAATAATTGTATGCCATTGACCTTTGATCATGCAACCTGGCAGTGTTTTAGTTAGAACCTATGGCCACGACCATGAGTATTGTTCATTGTGGCATGAGGGGCGGTGGGGTAGCCTAATGGTTAAAGCGTTGGCTCGTCACGCCAAAGGTGTAGTGGTTCAAATCCCAGGGCAGTAAGGTGGAGCAGAGCCATCACAATGTGTGAAGCCCATTTCTGGTGTCCCCCGCCGTGATGTTGCTGGAATAAAACCAAACTCAGTCAGTCAGTCAGTCATTGTGGCATGAGGACCCAGTTGTCTAAGGCACTACAATAACTGTACTGAATTGTGTCTCTTGGGCTTGCCAGAAACTTGTGATGGTGGAATCGAATCCTGGTTTGCCATGGTCAGATTTCAGTAAACCCTCATTAACTCACTGTGGCATGGAACTCACTCATTCTTCTTAAAAATTCTTTTCAAAACCTGACTACAAAGCAGTGAGATTCTTCTTTCTGTAACTCTAAGTGCTAACCATGCTGACAGGGTCACTTGACAAGCATTTGATGGAGTGATGCAGTACAGACTTGTTTGTGTTTTCCAAGATTGCTACTGATCATTCATCTGACGCTTCTACCTCTGTATTCAAGGAACTCTGAGATGCTGGTGCCCCACATATTCCAGTTCCTTGTGATGTTGTCGTACGAGCGTTTCCACAGCAAGTCCATCATCGACATGCCCCGCATCATACACAGATGTGACGGCATCATGGCCAGCGGATTGCAGCCCACAACTCATGGTTGGTCCCACGTTCATGTATATATGTACAGCATGAAGACAGGGGTGTAAATGATAGTCTCTGGCAATTTCAGCTGCGATGAGCAACATGGTGTTTGCGTTATAGTTAGACAATGATGATATATGGAGTTAAGGAATGAAAGTATTCTGATTGGATCTTCTTCAGTAAAATATCCAGGATAACTGAAGATGAGCTTGGAGCTCAAGAGTTGTGTACACATTATAGGAAGAAGTGTTCTCACAATCCTTTGAATGCATTGATGCCTTTTGCTTTCTTCATGTTGGTAGGAATTTGGTTCCAAAGTAAAAAGAGTATCCAGGATTGTGTTTGAATTTGAGGGAACATTAGGAGCTGATTGTTAATTCCCAGTGATGTTGACACTGGATGGTAATACTATATTAGCTCACTATTGTATCTTGGACCAACACCTCTAACATGTTTAAGGTAGTACTCTAAGGCCATTAGATTAATACACTTAAGGGGGAATTGATTCCATCTCATTGCACCCAGATAGCATAGATCATTACTCATAATCTCAATATGTATTACCTGGTTTGTGTGGCCAAGTCTTGACTATATAGGGGCGGTGGGGTAGCCTAATGGTTAAAGCGTTGGCTCGTCACACCGAAGACCTGGGTTCAAATCCCCACATGGGCACAATGTGTGAAGCCCATTTATGCTGTCCCCCGCCGTGATGTTGCTGGAATATTGGTAAAAGCGGCGTAAAACCAAACTCAGTCAGTCAGTCTTGACTATAGTACTAAAACAGTGAGGATTGTTGTGTCAAACACAGTCAGTCAGTCTTGACTATAGTACTAAAACAGTGAGGATTGTTGTGTCAAACACAGTCAGTCAGTCTTGACTATAGTACTAAAACAGTGAGGATTGTTGTGTCAAACACAGTCAGTCAGTCTTGACTATAGTACTAAAACAGTGAGGATTGTTGTGTCAAACACAGTCAGTCAGTCTTGACTATAGTACTAAAACAGTGAGGATTGTTGTGTCGAACACAGTCAGTCAGTCTTGACTATAGTACTAAAACAGTGAGGATTGTTGTGTCAAACACAGTCAGTCAGTCTTGACTATAGTACTAAAACAGTGAGGATTGTTGTGTCAAACACAGTCAGTCAGTCTTGACTATAGTACTAAAACAGTGAGGATTGTTGTGTCAAACACAGTCAGTCAGTCTTGACTATAGTACTAAAACAGTGAGGATTGTTGTGTCAAACACAGTCAGTCTTGACTATAGTACTAAAACAATGAGGATTGTTGTGTCAAACACAGTCAGTCAGTCTTGACTATAGTACTAAAACAGTGAGGATTGTTGTGTCAAACACAGTCAGTCAGTCTTGACTATAGTACTAAAACAATGAGGATTGTTGTGTCAAACACAGTCAGTCAGTCTTGACTATAGTACTAAAACAGTGAGGATTGTTGTGTCAAACACAGTCAGTCAGTCTTGACTATAGTACTAAAACAGTGAGGATTGTTGTGTCAAACACAGTCAGTCAGTCTTGACTATAGTACTAAAACAATGAGGATTGTTGTGTCAAACACAGTCAGTCAGTCTTGACTATAGTACTAAAACAGTGAGGATTGTTGTGTCAAACACAGTCAGTCAGTCTTGACTATAGTACTAAAACAGTGAGGATTGTTGTGTCAAACACAGTCAGTCTTGACTATAGTACTAAAACAATGAGGATTGTTGTGTCAAACACAGTCAGTCAGTCTTGACTATAGTACTAAAACAGTGAGGATTGTTGTGTCAAACACAGTCAGTCAGTCTTGACTATAGTACTAAAACAGTGAGGATTATTGTGTCGAACACAGTCAGTCAGTCTTGACTATAGTACTAAAACAGTGAGGATTGTTGTGTCAAACACAGTCAGTCAGTCTTGACTATAGTACTAAAACAGTGAGGATTGTTGTGTCAAACACAGTCAGTCAGTCTTGACTATAGTACTAAAACAGTGAGGATTGTTGTGTCAAACACAGTCAGTCAGTCTTGACTATAGTACTAAAACAGTGAGGATTGTTGTGTCAAACACAGTCAGTCAGTCTTGACTATAGTACTAAAACAGTGAGGATTGTTGTGTCAAACACAGTCAGTCAGTCTTGACTATAGTACTAAAACAGTGAGGATTGTTGTGTCAAACACAGTCAGTCAGTCTTGACTATAGTACTAAAACAGTGAGTTGTTGTGGATTCAGTTTGACTATAGTCTAAAACAGTTTGTTGAGTCAGTCAGTCTTGACTATAGTACTAAAACAGTGAGGATTGTTGTGTCAAACACAGTCAGTCAGTCTTGACTATAGTACTAAAACAGTGAGGATTGTTGTGTCAAAACAGTCAGTCAGTCTTGACTATAGTACTAAAACAGTGAGGATTGTTGTGTCAAACACAGTCAGTCAGTCTTGACTATAGTACTAAAACAGTGAGGATTGTTGTGTCAAACACAGTCAGTCAGTCTTGACTATAGTACTAAAACAGTGAGGATTGTTGTGTCAAACACAGTCAGTCAGTCTTGACTATAGTACTAAAACAGTGAGGATTGTTGTGTCAAACACAGTCAGTCAGTCTTGACTATAGTACTAAAACAGTGAGGATTGTTGTGTCAAACACAGTCAGTCAGTCTTGACTATAGTACTAAAACAGTGAGGATTGTTGTGTCAAACACAGTCAGTCAGTCTTGACTTGACTATAGTAATTCTAAAACAGTGAGGATTGTTGTGTCAAACACAGTCAGTCAGTCTCTTGACTATAGTACTAAAACAGTGAGGATTGTTGTGTCAAACACAGTCAGTCAGTCTTGACTATAGTACTAAAACAGTGAGGATTGTTTCAGTGTCAAACACAGTCAGTCACAGTCTCTTGACTATAGTTGTACTAAAACAGTGAGGATTGTTGTGTCAAACACAGTCAGTCAGTCTTGACTATAGTACTAAAACAGTGAGGATTGTTGTGTCAAACACAGTCAGTCAGTCTTGACTATAGTACTAAAACAGTGAGGATTGTTGTGTCAGTCTTATGAACACAGTCAGTCAGTCTTGACTATAGTACTAAAACAGTGAGGATTGTTGTGTCAAACACAGTCAGTCAGTCTTGACTATAGTACTAAAACAGTGAGGATTGTTGTGTCAAACACAGTCAGTCAGTCTTGACTATAGTACTAAAACAGTGAGGATTGTTGTGTCAAACACAGTCAGTCAGTCTTGACTATAGTACTAAAACAGTGAGGATTGTTGTGTCAAACACAGTCAGTCAGTCAGTCTTGACTATAGTACTAAAACAGTAAGGATTGTTGTGTCGAACACAGTCAGTCAGTCTTGACTATAGTACTAAAACAGTAAGGATTGTTGTGTCAAACACAGTCAGTCAGTCTTGACTATAGTACTAAAACAGTAAGGATTGTTGTGTCGAACACAGTCAGTCAGTCTTGACTATAGTACTAAAACAGTGAGGATTGTTGTGTCAAACACAGTCAGTCAGTCTTGACTATAGTACTAAAACAGTGAGGATTGTTGTGTCAAACACAGTCAGTCAGTCTTGACTATAGTACTAAAACAGTGAGGATTGTTGTGTCAAACACAGTCAGTCAGTCTTGACTATAGTACTAAAACAGTGAGGATTGTTGTGTCGAACACAGTCAGCACAAACAACAAGGGAACAAACAGATAAGAGCAGCAAGTTTTTGAATCGCGTTTAGAAGTTATGCACATAAGGGAAATAATTTATTACTATCAACTTCTTTATCATTAAAGAAGATGGTGTCCTTAAATACGCTATTTTGAATAATAGTTGTGATTGATGTGCCATGACTACACAGTATGTACGTGAGGTTTGGGAATGTGTGTTGCAGCAATTCCGGCCCTGCGCTGTGTGGTGTAATGGACGACCTGTTCCTGCTCCGTGGCAACAGCAAGTCGGATGTAGGGAAGGAGCTGGAGACACAGAGGGAGGTGGTGGTGTCCATGTTGCTGCGCCTGATCAACTACTACCAGGTAATAAATACGTCAGATTACATGCGATATACCAGTATCTCATCCAGCCTGTTATACCCCGTGGGGATTTCAGGTTAGGATGGTCCTCAGCCAAGTATGCCTGTTGGACGAGGCATCTTAGTCAATCGGGGTGGTGGGGTAGCCTAGTGGTTAAAGTGTTAGCTTGCCATGTTGAAGACCTGGGTTGACTGCCCCCATGGGTACAATGTCTACCCCCGCTGTGATATTGCTTGAATATTGATATTAATACAATCTCCACTTTCCCTGCAGAAATGGTATGAATATTTTGATGTATTTTTCTCAACTTGGATCTTTGATTTGTGTCATGATGCCATACTTGGCAAGGTTTATTCAACGTTTGTATTTGCTGGTACAGGCTCTGGAGATGTTTGTGATAGTTCTCCAACAGTGCCACAGGGAGAGTGAAGACAAGTGGAAGAGGTTGTCTCGGCAAGTCATCGATACTGTGCTGCCAGCTCTAGGAAAACAACAGGTGATTCACTAGTTCTTCCGGGAGAAATCGATGACATGATGTATGGTCAACAACACAGCAATGCCTCTATTTCATACCTCATACTTTACAGTTGCTAGTGATAATCTGTAAATCATGTTTGTCATAATGATAAAGCCGACAGTGATTAATTATAGTCTATGTCAGAATGCTATGTTCTATATCATCTTTCATGATACAATACAAGGATAGGTCCCATAGAGATTCTTTCTAGGTTTGGGGCTGTGGGGTAGCCTACTGGTTAAAGCGTTGGTCGTCACGCCGAAGACCCGGTTCGAATCCCCACAAGGGTACAATGTGTGAAGCCCATTTCTGGTGTTCCCCACCGTGATGTTGCTGGAATATTGCTAAAAGCGGCGTAAAACCAAACTCAGTCAGTCAGTCTTTCTAGGTTTTGGGGAGGGGGATCCAATATATTTGTCCAGAACTCTGGAGTCGTCAGAGTGCCGTCAGACTGTGATGGTGATTGTTTCTCATGCTATCAACACGACGTTGTCTGATCCAGGCCTGGGTCCCGATCCACAAAGAGTTGTGACCTGTGATCCAATAGTTTAACATAGACTTATGAATGTTGGAGTGCTACGAACCGTTTGTGGATGGGGACCCAGGTTATTAACTTATGGTACTGTGATGATATGGCTGTTATTTAGCTGACTGCTGATTTCAGTGGTATTATCACTTGGGGAATGGTTAAGACAACTTAAAACAATCTATGTGTGCATTTTCCAGAGGATCTTTTAAGTTGTATTAACTTCAAGACAACCTTGGTGACTCCCAGTAATTATTAGATGAGTTGCACGTATAATACAGTAAATATGTTGAGACAACTTTCTGATGTGGTTCCAGATCAACATTGACCGCCAGTCTTCGCTGGACGTCCTGCACCGATTGTTCGAGTCAGTGGCTCCCAGCGTCTTCAGACCGGTTGACATCCTACTGAAGGGGCTGCTGGGATCCCCAGGGGACATTGTAAGTACAGAGTCAAGTACTTGAAACGCTGAAACGTGTTGGTATTCCAGAACATAATAGGCACCTAGTGCCTCGCAGAGTTGTGAAGGACCAAATGGTTCGAAGGTGTAACATGTGTAATGTTGTGACACCATTGGTCAGTACACATTCTATGAGCTACTTGTTTGCCTGGCCTTCACCTGATGTAATCTGAAACAAACTTGTAGACATTGTGTAAACTACCATAGCAATGAAGACAATTAGACTTGGTGAACATACTTTAATACATATACCAATCCAGTCTAAGGGAGAACTAATGTCTTTTGTGCTTCCAAACTTCTGTCTACTATTATGGACAAGAGAGTATGTAATTTAAAAGACAGAGTGGTCAGTGAGAAAGCTGTGGGCACAAGTGCCTGACAATCTAAGGTGGAAGAATGTTGTGCACAGTTATGTCCCTTAGTTATGGCAGGATCTGCTAAGCACTGGCACACATCCAAGATTTTTGCTAGTTATGATTAATATTAATGTAGCACTTTTCATACCAATGCTTTGTAAGGAAGTTAACATAGCATCTCCTGTTAGAATCATGTTCAAAGTTCCCAAAGCTGTTGCCCCCCCTCCCCTCACTCTCCCAGATGTAATGTGATCATGTGACTGTCATGCCTCTGTCTTGCAGTCGGGCGGTGGGGTAGCCTAGTGGTTAAAGTGTTCACTTGTCATGCCAAAGGCCCGGGTTCGATTCCCTCATGGGTACCATGTGTGAAGCCCATTTCTGGTGTCCCCTGCCGTGATATTGCTGGAACATTGCTAAAAGCATCGTTAAAACCAACTCACTCACTCACTCCCTGTCTTGCAGTCATGTGTCCAGGGCCTGCAGCGCTGGATGTGTCTGGTACTGTCCGTCATGAGAGTGCTGGTCTCCCAGTCTAAGGAGGAGGTTGTGTTGTCCCGCCTTGTGGATGTGGGGCTGTCGTTCCCCCTGACGCGGGATGCCGGGGAGAGAGACACCAACATCGAGGACTACAGCGATCTGATGCCTGAGGAGATATTTGCATGGTATTGTTTTTGACGAGAATTCATTACCATTACTTTCAGACATTGATATTATGTGTTTGATTGTATGTTTGACTTGTTGCTCATGATAATATCTGATATCGTTTAGCCAAGTGATGAAAGCGTTGTGGACACAACGAAGACCCAGGTTCGATTGCCCACATGGGTACTATGTATGAAGCCCATATTTGGTGTTCCCTGCTATGATATTGCAGGAACATTGTAAATAGCAGCCTTAAACCTTACCTTTAATATTGATATATATGTTTTGTTTTTTAGTTTTATGAAAGATTGCATCACCTTTGCAACAATTCACTGACGTGCCATGTTAGAGAAGTTCTGTTGAAAGTGGTGTTAAGACAATTCATTTGTACACTTAGCTGTGGGGTAGCTCAGTGGTTAAAGCGTTTGCTCATCACGCCAAAGGCCCGGGATCGATTCCCCACATGGGTACAATGCATGAAGCCCATTTCTGGTGTCCCCTGCTGTGATATTGTTGGAATATTGCTTAAAGTGACTCTCTCACTCACTCACTCACTCACTCACTCACTCACTTATACACTGTAAACTCTCTTCCATAGGTTCCTGATGCAAGCAATAGGCAAGTGTGCAGAGACCCTCAACAAAGAGTCTGTGACCATCAACTCCTCAGATCACAACTTGCACTTCCTGGTACAGCAGATGTGCCATCTCATCCTCTACATCACGCACATGTTTCAGTCAGGGCTGTACCGCCGCGTTGCCACGGCAGCCATGCGCATCATGCAGATGGACTGTCCTCGTAATGTGTACAGTGTGCGGGAGATCAACCAGCTTCTCCTGGCACTCAACACTGTGTACCCCACGCTGACGATGCTGTGGTGCAACATTCTCATCCTCCTCAACTTTGACGACCAGAGCATGTGGAGCCAGGTGATGCACACACCACAGAAGTACCTCATGGTCAGCCCTAGGTGAGCACATGATGTCACTAAAGGGCACAATCAGTTATCAGATTTCCATGCAGATTTTACGAAATTACAAAATATCTGTCTCAGTATGAATTGATGTGCCATGTTACAGTTCAGTTGTTATTCTGTTTGACAGTCGCCAGGGCAACATGGTGGACCTGAAGAAGAGGACGTTACAGTGTTGTCAGCTGGAACTGCTGAGGCGGGGAGGACTCATCCTCTTCTGTGACTATGTGGTCAGTTCGTGTACAGCTGTACAGGGTGGCGGGGTGCTCTTGTGGTTGATGTATTGATGTGAATTTGGAAGTGTGTATGTGTATACAGTGGAAGCTGTCTAAACCGGCACTTGTCGGGACTGAAGAAATTATCCGGTTTAGACAGCGTGCCGGATTGTAGAGCTGACAATGTTACCTTCGACTAGAATGGAACCAGTTTTGTCACTCTCATATACAATGTTGTATCATGTGGTTCTCTCAATTACTGCACACACTGACAACAAAAGACAAAGATTTGAGCTCATACTCACTAATTACATGTACAATTATACCCATACTGAACTAAGATTAAATTATCTTTGTCGGCAACCATGTAGTTTCAACAATGGATTAATTTGTGACAATACACATATGGCTGACTCATCGCAACGCGCCAGATTAAACAGCTCTGATTACTGTATAAACACATATTCTAGCGGGTCATTTCATGCCCAGTTCGAATTGAGGAGCTACATGGATGATAAATGTACTAGCCACAGTTGGGACTGAACTTTATGCGGGTTGACAATATAATATGTTCTTGAACTCCTATGCTGACATGTTAAGACATGTTGCTCGGAACTCCATTAATCCAGGCACCCTGCTTTCCTGACAACTACTTTTGCATGAGTGTGTACATATGACTGGTAAATGCAAATATTTACCTGGATGTGTTGCTTTTACCTCTTCTGTGCAGAGTAATGGTATATAAATATATTTTGGTGTCTGCGCGTTGTCTGCGCTGTTCTCCTCTCATAACGTAGCATAGCATGTTTCAAAGTTTCCATTTTCCTTCCCAGTGTGAGAACCTGAATGATGCGGAGCACATGACATGGCTGATAATAAACCACGTGTCTGATCTCATTGAGCTGTCAGATGAGTCACCAGTGCAGGATTTCATCAGCGCTATACATCGGAACTCTGCTGCCAGCAGTCTCTTCATACAAGCCATACATGCCAGATGTGAAAATGTCTCCAGGGTGAGATTTATCTGATTCCTTCTCCTGTTGATTTTCATAATTACATGGCCTCTTAAAGGCATTTTACACTCCATTACAGTAAAAGCATTTGATGCGTAATGTAGTCTCACTGTGGTAATTCTGTGGAGACTAGAAAAAAATATACTGAGCATCAATTCCTGATCGTGACGTATGAACCAAGCTTGATCAGGTGGTCGGACTCTGATGTGGTGGATTATGTGTCAGTGTGTCCAGATTGTGCTGATCACTTCTTATGGTTTCAATTGCTGATTCTAGCACGACAAGGTGTGATACTCGATTCTGATTGGCTGAGAGCTCATCAAAACTGTACTTAAATGACAGTTTAAGGACCGCTAATTAAAGTGACCGATTCACCACGTATGAATACAACAAACTCGTTGACCCTAATGTTTGTAAACAAACATGTCGGACATCGGCAATTTCTATCTCGGCAGCATCTTTGGTGTTTTTGAAGTAAAAAGCGAATGGTTTGAAGAGGAATTTCTTGACCCTAATCCCAGTGAAGAAACTATGAAGCTGGAAAATCCATCAGCAGCTCAAAAGCGGCAGTATATTCACGCGTTCCGTTTTTAAATTACATTTAGCGGTCTTAAATCAACGATAAAGGACTGCAAACTTGACACAGAGTAGCTTTATCTTCTAATTGTATGCCACAAATGAACTGAATCATGTGGTCAAACTGTGATATGTTTAGTTGTGTATCGTTGTGTCCAGATTGTGTTGATCATGTCTAATGTTGTCAGTGATTGGTTTTCCGAGGCTAGATGATTATTTGCAGGCTGTTGTGAAGCAGCTGACTTTATGGATTACATTATAACTTGCATTCTCTCAGTTATATGCTGTGCAGAACATTTATAGGTATTTCACAGGATGCTGCTGTGCTTGCAGTTCTGCTCAGTCAGTGGCCCAGATGCAGGGCTCCCGTGTACCACTGCAGGACGCTTTCCAATTACGCATTGAAATTAACATGCTCCCATATGTTGTTGTATTTATGCCTGGATGTTGCTGGAATATTGCTGTCAAGTTGTAGGTTAAATTGTTGTACTGTTAGTAGGGATGAGTGACTATATTTACCATCATGCTTGTTGGTTTTGATTAGGTATGACATAAGGCAGAACATTCCTGTTCTCAATAATATTTAGGTGAGTAAAATGACTGAAATACGCACATATTTGGAGATTGAAATGAAATACCCACTCAACATTCATAATACCCACTCCAAAACAAAACAAAACAAAAGTGGGTACAAACATCTCATCTAGTACAAATTTAGAAATAAGCAGATACATCTTTTTTAAGATTGACAACATACAATCAACATATCTTTCCAAAGCAATCAACATGCAAAGCTAACAAATGCTTATCATGTAAGTTAATATATGTTGATATTTCAGCCCTCTCTTGTGAAGAAGACCCTGAAATGCATAGAAGCAATCCATCTGACGCAGAGTGGGGCCTTACTGACACTGCTGATAGACAAGTTCCTCAACACACACCAGCTGGCTGTAGCGAGGATGTGTGACACAATCGCATGTCGCCGGGTTGAGATGTTGCTGGCGGAGAACTACGAAGACAGCAGCAAGCAGTTACCACTAGAGGATTTAGAGAAGTTACTTCAGTTTATGAGATCCAATGGATTAATACAAAGGTAGAGGATTGACACATCTTGTTTGTCATTATATATGTCTCTCATATTGTTACAGGCACCGTGGCACTTTCATTTGGCTGTTGAAATTGATACATCTCATTTCTCTGGTAACAGCACAGATGATCATGATGATCTTTCTATTATAATCAGTGCTAACTTTGTTAATCTGTTCGTCTGGAACATTTTAAGTGATACCAAAGTTTTCTACAGAAATGAGTTTTGAAAAGTCATTATTTCTGTGTATTGGCATTATTCAAATCAGTTGAATGTTTTTGTCTTTGGTTAAGCTGATGCTTTTTATAAATAATGATGCCTCTTTTAATTGTTTGATACTTTTGCAAATTGTGTGATGTTTTTTTTTTTATGAAGTACTTACATCCATCTAATGTCTGATGTTGCAGACATGCTCGCCTTGTCTCCCTCCTCAACAAGTTCCTCATCCTCCAATCTCCAGACAACAAACATGCCATGTCACCAGAGAAAACTCACCCTCTGGCCTTGACCCCTGAACAGGTCACAAATATAGAGGTCAACAAGGTAAAATTGACAAATACAATTACAAATTTAGCATGAAAATGACAGCATGCACCTTCAAATTTTGAGATTTAGTTTTGTCTTATTTTTAACTATTGTGAGTTACAATTACTTGATTGAAATAATTGTGATCAATATAGGTTGTAGACTTCTTGCTAAAGTTCCGTTACCAGTGGTGAAGCCCATTTCAGTTCCTCACTGCAATCTACTTCCAAAGCTCCCAAGACATTTTTTGTACACATCCTTTTTGATCCTATGAATTATTGTTGGAGCGGAGGTGTTTGAAAACAAGGCTTCATTCATAGATAGTGTTTTCCTTCTCCTGGACCCATGAAGATCCGGGCTAGAATTGATCTTCAGCAAACCATGCCTGTCGTAATAGGCAACTAATGGGATCAGGTGGTCAGACTCTCTGACTTGGTTGACACATGTCATCACATCCCAGTTACTTAGATCAGAGCATATGCTGTTGGTCACTGGATTGTCTGGTCCAGACTCGATTATTTAAAGACCGCTGCCATATAGCTGAAATATTGCTGAGTGTGGCTTTTAACACCAACCAACCTACCAACCAACTTTCTCCAGGATAGCGGTAAGTTGTAGCAAAATTCCCATTGCTATCACTAAAACTGACATCGGTAGTCACACCTGTGTATTACCTATGCAGGACTTCTACCTGTCGGTGGTGAAGGACCAGTGCTTCCAGATGGACCCCAACACGCGGGAGTGCGCCTTCCTCCTCCAGCGCCTTGACTATGCTGACATACTGTCTATCACCATGACAAAGGTAGGCTGCAGTACGCAACATCATCTGATGATTTGTTGAGTCAGCAACTTTTGGAATAAGTGCCTGCCATTTTAACTGCACTAATGTCGGTTTATCACAAAGGGATGCTCTGTTCAAATATCAGGAGATGAAATACTCACATAGGTTTGTTTGATTGGCAAATTTGGCGATTAGTCACCAGTCGGATGACATTGTGATGAGTGGAGGAATAGTTTTCTCCACTTTGTAGTACAATGAATAAATTACCATGTGTAAAAAATGCTACCATGGATGTTGAATATGTTAATAAGGGATTAAGCTAATAATGGATTCCTGTTCCTGAGAGATTCAATTCAGTTCCTAGTTGGAAGAATTTGGGACAGACAGGTAGATTATCAGTAAAGTCTCTGTGTCAAATATTTATGATAGAGACCTGAGTGTTGTTGTACAGAGCAATCTTAGCGCTAAGATGACCTTAGCTACCATACCTTAACATAGACTTAAGATAGTATTAGCTCTAAGGTTGTTTTGTACAATGGCACCCAGGGTTTTATTTTCAATGTAAAATTTGAAGGCCCATTGTAAGTAAATGTATATTGATCTTTTCTGTTGTCTGCCATGATATTGCTGTAATATTGCTAACAGCAGTATAAAACTCATCCTCGATAAACTCCAGGGTATACGTTACGATCACTCTCCACTATACCCTGGATGCATCCACGGCTTGGCCCGATGACTTTATTACCTCCCTTTGCTGGCTCCGCATTCTCACAGTAGCCAATCAGCTAAGCCGTCGCCGTTACATCCAAGCTTGCCAGTGTCAACAAAGATAGCGGTCGCAGTCGCGAAGGTTTGTTCGCAGTACCACTCAGATTTTTGGGGAAATAATACAGACAAATTGACAGATCTGAAACTTTAAAGAAATATATAAAAGAACTTCTACATCTTTCAGAGTAGCTCTGCATCAATTGTGTTGCCAAGTTTAAACGGTTAGATAATTTAAGAAGCAAAAGTGAGTTGTGATTGGTTCGCTCAACTTCCCAGCGTTGACACCTTATTGGATAAAAAGCCAGCCAAGAGAGGTAATAAACTCATCGGGCCAAGCCGTGGATGCATCCAGGGTATAGTGGAGAGTGATCGTAACGTATACCCTGGAGATTATCGAGGATGTATAAAACTAGACTCACTTTTCCAGGAAAAGTATTTGAACTGGGGACTTTGTTTTCAGGAGTTCAGTCTTGCAGTATTAGAGGAGTGTATATCGCTGGGTGCATACCGTACACTTGTGAGATACAATCGTGACCGAGAGACTCACACTGAGCAGAAGCTGCCCCTCTCGGAGACCAAGTCTCGACACACTCTTCCAAGCTGCACAGCTCACTCTGTTCCGCCATATTAACAATATCATCAATCACCTTCCAATTCCACATCAGAATCTGACTTTTAGACTCTCTCTCAGTGCCAAAGAGATTCGATACATGGAGAGAATCGAGGATTTGTTTACGGATAGTACATGGTTTGTGATGAACTTTCAGCTAACGTCAGCACTAACTCAGTATTTAGTGTCTGTACAGAGGTTTCCATGGAGACCTGGTGTGCCTGCTGAATCTCATGGAGATGTATGCCGCTTTAGTGTTCTTTGTATGGAGGTAAGTGAATTGGGTTTGTTTTCAAATATTTTCAAATCTAGACATTTTGGAGCTTGATAGTAGGGCTTAAATTTAAAATACAGTTCAAGGTTATGTTAGACCAAAGTAATTGACCCAAGCCTATTGGGTGTTTTGATACACCTGAGTGTTTCCACTTGGTGATTCATGTAGCTGCTAATGGAATCAGAATAGTTCCCTGTCCGATGTTTGTCAGGTTTTACAAATACTGATTTGAGGTTGAAGATAATAGGTGTTACAAATACTGATTTGGGGTTGAGATGGTAAGTTGTACAAATACTGATATGTGGTTGAAAATGGTTGTGTAGATACTGATTTGGGGTTGAAGATGGTAGCAAGTATAAATACTGATTTGGGGTTGAAGCTGACAGGTTGAACAAATACTGATTTGAGGTTGAAGATGGTTGTATAGATACTGGTTTGGGGTTGAGATTTTAGATTGTACAAATGTTGTACTTTTTCAGATGCTGAGTTGGCTGCTGCAGCACAACCAGCTGCCGACCACGGAGCAGATACAGACGTGTCTGGAATGTGTGTCCCTCGTCCTGCAGAACCAGCTGTTCTCCTCCATCATTGGTCAGACCGACCATTCCACATGGGTGTGTACCATCACATCTTCCCTCTACCAGCTGGTGTCATCATGTAAGTAGTGGATTCAAGATGTCTTTTACTAATGGGATCGGGTGGTCATACCCGCTTATACTTGGTTGATGTATGTCATATCCCAACTTGATAGACTGATGCTCATAATTTATATCACAGGATTGTCTGGTTCAGACTAGATTGTTTACAAGCCATCACAATATAGCTGGGATAATGCTGAATGTGGCATTAAACAACTATGAAACAACTCATGCATCTCTTTTGGAAATAGGTGTGTGTGGGGTAGCCTAGTGGTTAAAGCATCGCATGCGTCACGCCGAAGACCCGGGTTCGATTCCCCACATGGGTACAATGTGTAAAGCCCATTTCTGGTATCCCCCGCCGTGATATTGCTGGAATATTGCTAAAAGCGGCGTAAACTAAACTCACTCACTCACTTTTGGAAATACCTACATGTGATCATATCATCCTGATAGATGTAAACCATTTGCTGAAAGTTGTTGCAGGAGCACCATGTGTTCCTCCTGATCATCAGGGGCCGTGGGGTAGCCTAGTGGATAAAGTGCTCGCTTGTCACACCAAAGACCCAGGTTCGATTCCCACATGGGTACAATGTGTAAAGCCCATTTCTGGTGTCCCCGTGTGGTATTGCTGGAATATTGCTAAAAGTGGTGTAAAACTGAACTCACTTCACTCCTAATCATCAAGCAAATTAATGCCCGTGTATGATCATGTGATAAGAGGCAGAGAACTACAGCATGGTTGGTGAAATAACTTCTGCCATTGAACAGTTACTAAACATGTCTTTGGGGTTACTGTACGAACGGACACATTTTGTTGACATATAGTAAACTATGGTAATAATAAACTCAAAGGGGCCACTAATATTTCGTTATAAATGTAGTTTGTTATTCACACGTCGACTAAAATATAAAACAAGTGGTTGGGACCAAAAATCAGTTATATCTGTCAAGACTGTTTGTTATAAACATGGTATTTTTCCTTATCCTGACTCATGATCTTTTGCTTATCTCCCTTTCCCTTGCGAATGGTAGTGGAACACTTGAAACCTTTGTAGTTCCCGACGCGGACGTAAAAATACACTCACCCACGAGTTACCTCCCTTTTCCCACGCAAACAGCCATGTGACCAGCCTTACTTGTCACGCTCTCCCTTTTCGCACTGGAGTCCCGTATACGGCACCAAATCATTTAATATTTAGATCCTTTATCCAATTGAAACAGTGTATAGTTTTTGGTTATATTTAGTTTTCATCGTGTGTCAAACTTTTCATAAAATTATTCATATTTTGTGACATTTATTCATCATAATGTAGTTTGGGGTACTTATATGCATTTTCTGCAGCTGAAAATGTCATGTGACAGTGGTATCAATGTTTTAATAAAAATAATGTACAATAAATAAAAATCTTTTTTATCTGTTATACGGCCCCCACCACGTAGAGTTACCTCCCTGCTACACATGCGCAGCCAACCAAGTAAGCACCTAGGCCCGTATCATCAATCCTTCTGCTGAATAAATCAGTGAACAGAATTGCGGGGAGGTGGGCGGTCCTACCCCAAGGATGACTCTCTTCAAAGAATTGGAAACCTCTACAGGTTTAGCTAATTGTTTTTCAGAGAGATCGTCCTTGGGGTACATATATGCATGAACTCAGACTCCCAAAGACTGGAGGCCAGGGAAGAGGGAATTTTGTCAAAGTACACAGAAATAGCGATCGTTAGGATGAGAGCACCATAAGGGGGAAAACCAACTGACAACCGACCATAATCTCCAAAATGGCCAAAACACGAACGATCACGTGAATGTGTATCAAGCTCATAATGCCTGATAAAAGTGCTAGGCCTGCTCCAAATTCAAGAATCCGCAGTCAGAATGAAATCGGATGGTTTTGTCAGCGCTTATAACTCAACAATAAAAGATCAACAACATGTGTGATCTATACAGCCCACAGCCTGCACAACTCTACAACCTGCACAAACCTTACACCTGTAGTAGGTTCAGTTTCGGACGACAACCTACTTGATTCAGGGAATCCCTTCATCTACACGGATGCGGAGGTCATATCCTTGGTAGCAGATGGCCTGCTGATATTGTCGTTCACTCACGACAACCCAACAGAGACTTACTGCATATATGCGGATGACTTCGACTCCAATGTGATATCACCTATGAAGCCAATATCTCAAGTACTGGAGAACCTCAAGGCGTCCTTTGTAAAGGGCTTAAGGTTAAAAATGCCTTCAAGAATCCTTGGACGGATGTACAGATGATATTATTAACACTCGTCACTCAGCATGGGGATTAGGAATCTATATCCTATCAACTAGATTCAACATCAGTATTCTTAAAGATCCATACAGACATACGTCTTGACAGCCTCCTTCGTCATGCTGGCTTATGTTATCCACAATGCAAATACGTGATTAATATCACTGAACAATTTTTTACACTTGGAGGAACCCTTATTCAAGAGGTTTATATGAGCGGCGTAGAATTACGTGGCGCTTTCACTCAACCAACAATTGCACCAGATTTTATGGAGGCCAACCTGCTACAACACCAGTGACGTCATGCTTGAAGCTGATTGGTCCAGGACAGACAACGCCTCTTACTGACAGAACAGGCGCCAGCATGTTTACTGACTTGTAAACAAACCCGTGGTACAGGGGAATACTTCTTCTGCAGCCTTGAAAACAGCATACAACTACGGCCCGTTATCATCATGGGAATCTAATAGATGTCTAGCCTTGACAGCAGGATTAATGATGTTTATCTTGGAATTTTTCACTGATAAAAGCCTGTATGTGTACCTGTCTCCTTCGATACTACACTGGAAGCAGTCTTGCTGTAAATGGACAACGCTACGATGTATGCTGATCAACACAGATCGTCTGCGTATATAAGGGGAAGAATGATGTATCATCACTGCAAATTGCCATTCTGGACAAGGTTATCATCGCTGATGCCTATCTACGAGGATGAGAAGTGCACAAGAAGAAAGAAATGGCGGTAATACCCATTTTCCTGTCGTCTCTGTGAGTCACGGCGAGGTCAAGATAGAGTTACGTCCCTTGCTTGCCTGTTGCAGAAATGAAGGGTATTTTCTCTTTGGAATTTCATCGGCCCCGGGACTATTTACCTGTGTACCGAAGCCCACTGATGCATCAGCGGAGACTTTGCAGTGCATTCTGCCTAGACAATGCAATCTAGACGCATCAACAAGCAGATCAACTCAGCTGAACTTCACAATCAAGTTGCTCACGCCACTAGTATGGCTAGTGAACCTGACGAAGTCGGAGTTGGAACCAAAACAAGATCTGCAATTCCTGGGGATAAGATTCATCACAACACAGAATCGAATTGTGACTCCAGAAGATCGTTGGGTCAAGATACAAGCCATGATTCCTCAAGCAGTCATCTCTCCGTTAACACTACGAACATGGCAATGTCTGCTTGGTCTACTAACCTCAGCACAAGACTTGACTCGCACATGAAGGTTACAACTACAGCCATTGCAACGATTCCTGGCAAAACATCTGGACAGAAGCGACCCTATCTACCAGATCATCTCAAAGTGTACCTACTTTGGTGGACTCAGAGGCTGAATGTCTGTGCAGGGACCTATTTACAAGAGCCGGTCTTCGACACACATCTCTACGCAGATGCATCGCTACAGGGATGGGGTGCACATATCAACAACCAAGTTGCATCAGGGAAGTGGTCAAATGCAGAACAGCATCTTCTGTCTTCTAGAAATGAAAGCTGTGATCAGCGCCGACGTACAACTATGGTCGAGTTTGCTGAGCAACAGAATGCTGATGATCCACACGGATAACTCTACAGTGGCATTCTCCATACATCGGCAAGGATCAAAAAGATCGCCAAGCCTATTGCAGCTCACATTCCAGTTGTTTAACATCACAGAGAAGGCAAGCATCTGGATAAAGTTGCTGTCACATACCGGAGCCAAGAACGTACTAGCAGACGCTCTTTCCCGACCACTGCACACATCACCCACGGAATGGATGCTCCATCCAGAAGCGTTCCGGCTCATCATAAGGGAAACAGGATCCCCATGCATAGACCTGTTCACCACAAGGTTCAACAAACAACTACAGACGTTTGTTTCACCAGTACCAGACCCCCAAGCCTGGGCAGCAGATGCCCTGAACATATGATGGGAAGGACTAAATGCTTACGCGTTTCCACCTCCGATCTTACTACCGAAAGTACTGTTGAAGATCAAACAGACACAAGCGCTACAACTGACTTTGGTCGTGCCCTATTGGCCAGAGAGAGTCTGGTTCCTATACCTAATAGAAGATCTCGGAAGTCCAACCCTCAAACTACCAGAATGGCCGAACCTACTCAGACATCCGCACACCAAGCAAGTCCACTGGAACCCAAAATTGTTCCAGCTACACATGTGGACCGTATCAAAACCTGTCTGAAGAAAAGAGGATACTCCGCCAGAGCAGTGAAAGCAGTGACCCTAGCGTTACGCAGATCTACTTGCAATTTGTATGACGACAAATGGCAGAAATTTGAGCAATATGCAAGGCGGAAAGGCTTCACAGCTATGAAAGCGTCTCATCCTCAAGTGGCGGAATATCTATGTCACCTTAGATATACAAGACATCTGAAAGGTTCGACATTATCTACATATCTGGCAGCCATTAGTACAGTCATCACTTGGAAGTCAGGCCTCAAATTGACAAAAGTACCAGAATTACTAGCTCTGCTGCGATCTTTTAAACTGGAGGACCAGCAAAAGAAATTCAGAGCACCAGCCTGGGATCTGAATGTAATTCTACGTCATCTCATGAGCGATGCCTACGGACCTCTAGAGCAGACTACCTTCGAGCTACTCACGCAGAAAGCTCTGTTCCTGCTTGCCCAAGCCACGGCAGCTCGTATGTCTGAGATACATGCGCTGAACTTTGGACGAACTAGATTCAACACGGGGCACCGTGCTGCAGTACATCTAGGCCTGAGATGGGATTTTATTGCAAAGAATCAACTACCTGGTCAACCAGATAGACAGTTCCATGTGCCAGCGCGCTATCTACGATCTTCTGACCGGAGGACACCCAGGACTTATCCTTGTGTCCTGTCAGAGCCTTGAAGATATATCTTCATAAGACTAAAACAAGGAGAAGAAAATTCAAGCGCCTATTCATCCCCTTTGTCGACGGAGACAGCAGTGGAAGTCTCAAGAACGACAATATCATTTTGGATGAGAGCCGTTATACTAAGAGCCTACAAAGCAGCAGGATTAGAACCTCCAAGAGCTTCCAACCCACACGAAGTCAGAGCACTGGCGTCGACACTTGCTCTGCATGGAAATTGCTCTATATCATCAATTGTGGAGGGCTGCTCTGGAAGTGGGATACGGTGTTTGCCAACAATCTACCTCCGAGACATAGCCACCGAAGACGTCTTGAAAGTCCATGCGCAGTCTAGACTAGGCTAGCATGAGTGATTAAGACTCTGTACGGGTAAAGATCTTACCTGTACGTAAAGGGGTCGCACCTCATTTATGATAAAGATCTTATCATAATCTATGGGTTGTTATAGATAACTAGTAATAAGAAGATACTAGTATATCTTAAGCCACATGAATCTAGAAGATTCACTTGCCTGAGAGAGAAGCAAGACAAGATGGTGGTCCCCCCGAGTTACAACGGAAGTTGGAAGAATAGGATCTAGGAAATGCTGTTACGCAGTTCCCATGGGGGGGATACAGGACGTATCTATGGACAGCTGTTGAATCCAGGAAGTGGCTTGACTCACTACCAATCCGTAGGATTCTATAAGCAAAAGATCATGAGTCAGGATAAGGAAAAATATGTAGTTTTTTAAGTAAAATTGATATTTTATACTTATCCTGACTCATGAGGAGAAGCCCTCCCAACCTCCCCGCTGGAAACACTTCGGATTTCACAGTAGATCCAGGTGCATTGACAGAAAAATCAGGAGAGAGTGACAAGTAAGGCTGGTCACATGACTGTTTGGCGTGGGAAAAGGGAGGTAACTCGTTGGTGAGTGTATTTTTACATCTGCTTCGGGAACTACAAAGGATTCAAGTGTTCCACTACCATTCGCAAGGGAAAGGGAGATTAGCAAAAGATCATGAGTCAGGATAAGTATAAAATATCAATTTTATTTAACAAATTACATTTACAACAATTTGTATCCTGTGCTTAATGTTTTTTCAAGTTGTATGTTATGTCACTGTATCAGAGAACTAAGTTATAGAGTCCGGTAGTGGTCAAGCTTGTTGAAGTGCTGCTTGTATTTCAGTGGTGGTGTTGCCAGGGGAGAAGGTGGCTGTGTTAGCTCATCAGGACAGAGAGGACGACAGTATGACAAATTCCAGAGATGGTTGGTACAACTTGTCACCACAGATGAAAGATTTCTTGATTCCCTCACAGTGGAATCGATCTTGACTCTTTTTCCCTATTGCATGTTTGAAGACCTTTAATTCATTGTCTTTTTTACATTTTTGTGTAATTGATCATATGTAACAACCCTTAACAAAAATGTCAGGTTATGATGGCAGGGTGATTCCATTGAACCAGGGAATATTTTTATTTGATCTCTTCCTTCTTCCAGAATCATCATTCCTTATCCGTGCATGTGACCAGATCTCGGAGTTGGTTCACTGTCTACAGACTCGCCTGAAACCAAAGACCCCACACTAGTCTCCCCTTGCCCCCAGTGATAGCAGCTCCCATCAGGAATATCGTCATTGGTAAGTACAGTGTTACACGAAGGCAATGATAACTTGCATTAAAGTTGCAGTCCATGATATACTGGATAGGATTTTCACTCACCGATAACTTGAAGTGGAAATATCTTTACTTATAACTTGGAGTGTCTGGAGTCTGTGAGTGTTGTTATCACAGATGTAGTGGTCAGTTTACACGATCTGAAGTCGTCATCATTCATATTTTATTACCACTTACAGGGCAAACATGTTCTCAACACGTCAATGTTTTTAACTGAACACAGACATGGTGTTGTTTTCACTGACAGGTAAAAGCTCTTCTGCCTGAAATTAAATTAGCTAGTCATTGGACATGCAACACTTCTTTAGCAAATTAAGGCTGTTGGTGTTTGTGATTCTGAGACACGTATATGACATGTATCTGCAGGTCTCGGGCGACTCCAGCTAGTTAACACATACGCATCGAACACCACCACTTGTATGGAAGCTGGGCTGGGCTCCCTCCCCATCAGGAGATCTGAAGACAAAACTACCTCCATTACCTGTTGACTTTCTACAGGAGAAAGAAGTCTTGAAGGAATTTGTTTTGCGGGTCAACACACTGGGTAAGCCACAAGACACTCATCCAATGCCTGATGTCAGTAGTTGACAACTTCCTGCGAATTATAATTATAAGGTGATTCTTGCTTTCATTAAACAACGAAATGGCGTCTTTGGGTCACTGTTCTATCAGCGTTCTAGGCATTCTAGGCATAGGCTCAAGAGTCAGTGTACTCTCCCTGAATGGTATCAGAGTCCTGACTAGTCACTAAACACTATATAAGCACTCAGGATTACATTAAACCCCATTTCATCTCCCTACCTACTGTTGTTGCTGTAGGATGGGTCAGTCGGCAGCAGTTTGAAGAGACGTGGATGAGTCTGCTGGCGTTACTCAACCCTGTGTCAGGTGGTATGGACCTGACACATGAGGTGAGTGTCTCTCCAGAGGATTGAAAGACAGCCAGAACATTTTGTCCTCCTGGGATCTGTCATTTTTTTCTGTGTTTTTTTCCTAATAAATCTTTTGTGTCAGAACAACTGGCAAAATATCTTCATTCTTTTTCAGAGAGATCGTCCTTGGGGTACATTTTATGCATTTTCCGGCTGAAAAATGTCCTGTGACAGTTGTATCAATGTTTTTTGAATAAAAAGATTGTACAATAAATAAACTCTTTTATTTATTATACGGACCCTACCTCACGGAGTTACCTCCCTTAGCGCATGCGCACCAACTGGGTAGGCTCCTAGACCCGTATCATCATTCCTTCTGCTGTCACGGCCGTGAACAGACGTGTTTTGAGTAACCCATTCATGAGCCGTACGGCGCTGTTAAAAGAGACTATGTCTGAGACACCACCTGTATGTATGGTCTTTATTTGTCTAAAACAAGAACAGTAAAGCTTTACAGTTGGTTGTTTCATAATTGTGACTTTGTATTAATACAAAATACGCCAACTTTCCCCGTGGTTACGCGACGTGTTGCTCTGCCATGGCGGGAAGTTTAGCGTGCCATGTGGTCGTAATATTGCGTGATTAAAACCAACTATTACTTTCGCGGTAACCTTCACGTAGTTTTTCAATGTTTTCTACGCGTTTATATGCTGCTGGCAGCCATTAACTCACATGTTTGGCGTGTTTGTTTCAGGCCTTTTCATGCTGTTCGGTCTGTGAGGGGAGTATCCCCGGGCCGACAGTCATACTTCAGCTGCGTGGGCCTGTCTGGAGAAGACAGGCCATGAGGCTGACTCCTGCCCTATTTGTCTGGCCTTTTCCCCGGCCCAGAAGAGGCGGGCTGCCGACACCTTGTTCTATCGCCAAATGCGGAGGCGGAGGGGACCTGACGCAGGTTCCCCCGCCTAAGTCCAAACGTGTGTCAAAAGGGAAAAAATCCCGCGGCCCTTCCTCCTGCCACTTCGAAAGTGGTTTTGACATGTCACTGATGGAGTCTATGTTTCAGCAGCAGATGGACTCGATGAAGTCCTTCGCTCGCGAGTCGGTTGGAGGTCTCCGGCAGGAGTTCCTCACCCACTCGGGACGGGGCGGAGAGTCCGGGTGGATCGCCGGCTCGGCTCGATCCTCGGCCTTGAGGCGCCTGTAGATCCGCTGCCTCTGGCTTCGATCCGGGACGCCTCGGCTGCTCCGGGAGAGGGAGGTGCTCCCAGTCCCCTCTCGAGGCTCGCCGAGGGCCGCTGAGTATTCCTGGTATTCCGTCCTTGCGCACACCCGCCCCATGAGAGCCGAGGCACCAGTTCTGCCTGGCCTGCCTCCAGCGCCTCGGACCGGGTCCACGACGCCGGGCTGGCTGGACGGGAGCAGTCTGTCTGTTCTTCCCTTCCTGTGGTTCCTAGCGCTAGGCAGTCCACCGGGTCGGGGTTAGGGTCCTCTTACGGAGGAGACCCAGCCTCTGACTCGGGCTCGGACGCCGAGGCAATGGAGCTTGGGAGGTCGAGGAGCATGACGGGCGGCTTCCGCTTTTGCTTCGCCTTGGCGGGAGGTCCGGCAGAGAATTGCCGAGGGCCTACCCCAGGTCAGCGGTGCCTGCTGGTTGCGCGTGGACTCGACTGAGTTCCGCTTGCCTGGCGCAGGCGTTTGCCCCTAGGCAACCCTCACAGACGCAGCTCCGCATTCTGCCATCGCTGGTCTCGGACGACGGTCGATCCCCTCTTGTCTGGTGCCCGAGTAAGGTTTGACTTACCTGAACTCGCGGCGGCGCTACCAGCTTGGGAGGATTCCCCTGTTCGTTGTACCAATTGTTGACTAATGTGTTTTCACTTCCGCCGCCCTGGGGAGGCTCGGCTTCCTCCGAGCAGCCCGGCTGCTCGGCAAGGGCTTCTAACTCCACCTTTTGCCCTCGCGGGCATCCCCTGCGGCACGCTGCACCGGACCTACGAGGAGGTCTACCGGAACGCGATGCAGCAGGTGCGGGTGGTGGTCCATGAGGCCTACCTCTCCTCGGGTTCAGAGGTCGGCCCTGGAGGCGGAGGGGCATGCTGGCGACGTGTCGCCGCATGTCGCGGCTGCTCCGTCAGCTTTTCGAAGTGCAGGCTCACCTCTGCGACTCTTTGCGGTCTGCTGCGTCGACGGTGATGTGCGCAGTCATGGGGATGCGCCGGGCTGTGGCTGTCGACGCGTCTAGGTACTCGGCAGCAACACAGCAGACCTTGCTGGCCCTCCCTTTCCGTCTGGGGCGCCACCCTCTTCCAGGGGCCCAGCAGGTCATACGGGGAGGCTGCCGCTGCAGCTACCTCCTTCAAGGACTCTAAGGCCTTGTTGGAGCACCAGCTGGTGTCTCGCCCGCCTCCGCAAGCCACCTTCCTCCGCCCGGGTGCAGCCTACACCCGAAGTCTGCCGGCTGGCTTCGCCGCTTGGTAGGGGTAGGCGGAGGAACAGGTCCGCCAAGGGTAGGGGCAAGGAGCAGTCCTCGACTAGCTCCCAGCCTTTTCAGCGGGCTGGGAGGTCTGCCCCGACCTCCCGTTAACCCATCAGGCTGCCGCTCAAGCCGTGGTGTCACACCCAGTCAGCTCCGCTGCTACCGGGTCTACACACGCTCCTACCCCATATCCCAGTGGGAGGCCGCCTCTCTATTCCTGCCGGAATGGGAGAAGGCTACCAACAACGCTTGGGTGCTGGCCACGGTCAGCATAGGCCATCTCCCACTGTGGAAGCGAGGTCCGCCCGACTTCACCGGCATACGCCGCACTCCGTGCCGCCATGTCAAGCCAGGGCGGACATATTGCTTGGCGACGGTTCAGGCTCTGCTGGACAAGTCCGCCAATCGGCGCATTCCACCGGGAGAGGAACAGGCGGGATTTTATTCCACGTACTTCCTCGTCCCGAAGAAAGCGGCGGGTTCGGTCCGATTCTCAACCTCAAGGGGTTGAATCGCATGCTTTCGAAGTCCCATCCTTCAAGATGGAGACACTGCGCGCCGGTGATCTCATCTGTTCAGCCCGGCGATTGGCTCACGCCAATCGACCTAAAGGATGCGATTCTGCATGTACCCATACATCCATCGCTCAAGCAGTACCTTCGGTTCTCTTTACGACGGGATGTATTACCAATTCAGGGTGCTCCTTCTCGGCATATCGACTGCCCCAAGGGTGTTCACCAAGCTCATGTTAGTCCCAGCTACCCTAGCTCGCCGCAAGGAAGGCGTTGTTACCCTTACCTAGACGACTGGTTGCTCGGAGCACTAACACAGCCAGCGAAATCAAGATGCTACTCACACAGTGATAGACATTCTAACTTCGACTGGGGTGGATCATCAACCTCAAGAAATCCGACCTGGTACCCACCCAGGACTTGGTTTTCTTGGAGCCTGATTCCAAACGAACAAGGATCTCGCTTTCCTTGTCGCCCGACCGGTCACCAGAGTTCGGAGATGGTCTCTTCATTCCTCTCCCAGCCCCAGGCACCAGCACGGACTTGGCTCCGTCTACTGGGCCATATGGCGGCGACGATCTCTGTAGTGTGGCGGGCGCGGTTGAGGATGCGTCCCATACAGCAAGCTTTGGCTGGGCTGTGGACTCACACGGAGGATCTGGGCGCGAGTCTCACAGTCCCCGAGTGGTTGACACCTCACCTTCAGTGGTGGACAAATGTCGGAAATCTCACCAGGGGTTACCTTGGAAATCGGCGCCAGCTCTCACAGTTCAGACAGATGCGTCCCTCACGGGCTGGGGCGTTCTGGGCAGTCTGTCGGCTTCGGACTCTGGTCCGAAGCCGAAGCTCACCTTCACATCAACGTGTTGGAACTGAGAGCTGTGCGGTTGGTATTCGAAGCTTCAGAGAGCATGTCCGCGGGCCAGGTAGTCCGTCTTCAGTTAGACAACCAGGCGGCCATGTCGTACATCCTGAAGCAGGGAGGCACGGTGTCCCCAGCGCCTCCGAAGCGTGGGACTTTCTCCTCTGGAGCGACCAGTAATGCGATTGTCAGGTACTCCCTGTTTATCTCCGGGGCTGGAGAGCGTCGAGCAGATGCGCCTGCGCCGGATCCTGGCCCCGCGCGCGAGTGGATGCTCGACAGGCAGATATTCACAGTAATCTCCCAGTTGTAACGGGTCGTTCGAGGTGGATCTGTTTGCGCCCGGCGGGGCGCATCAGACACCCGATGTTCTGCTCGGATACCGACCCAGGGCTTGGCTGCCGACACCTTCCTGCTGGATTGACGGGCAAAGTGCTCTGGGCGTTCCGCCAAGCCACTCATTCCCCGTGTCCTTTCACAGCTGTCCACCCAGCCAGCTCCTCGGCTACTTGTGCTACTGGCACCGCTTTGGCCGTCCACAGAGCTGGTTTCCGTAATTCTCAGGTTTCTGGCTCAGCCTCCTGTTCTATTACCTTTGGCGAATCGGACATTCTCACTCAGAACGGAGCTTCCCCACCCAAATCCACGGATTCAGTGGGTGGCTTGGCCTCTGTCAGGTCTAACCTCGGCGGGCACGGAATTCCTGCAGCAGTTGCAGACACAATTCTGGCTTCGGCGGGATTCGGCAAAACGCTCAGTAACGAGGATAGGTGGTCCCGCCATGCGCCGCTGGTGTTCAGATAAGGGGATTGCAGATCCCTTTTCTGGCGGATTTAGTCCGGTATTGGAGTTTTTGCAAGCTCGCTTTGGAAGAAGGCCTGGCGGTAAGCTGACCATTCAGCGGCTACTCCACCGCTATTTCCACTTTTCACACCCCTGTCGATGGTGCTCTTCTGGGGCAGCACCCTCTCGCATAGCTTTCGCTGGCGCTGGAACGGATTCGACCTGCTCTCAGGCGAACCAGTCCACCTTGGGATTTGTCGATCGCGGTTCGATTGGCTGTCCGTCCCACTTTCTCACACCTATCGGCTATTTCCATTCAGTTGTTGACCTGGAAAGCTGTTTTCTGGTGGCGGTAACATCTGGTCGGCGGGTCGGCGATTTACATGCTATGTCGTCCGACCGGGCGCTGACTGTGTTTCACACGGATCGTGGTCAGTATTCGCCCTCCCAGATACTTTACCGACCGAAGGTCGATCACGCTTTCCATGTGACAGCTCTATCGAACTTCCTACTCTTACCCAGCCTTCCACATCGGGGACCACTCCTATGAGCACTCACCCGTTGGATGTCCGTGAAGACGCCAAAGTCTATCTCAAACGAACGCGAGGGGATCCGTGACGGGTACCCAGCTGTTCTGTTGTTACGGTGGCGGAAGGCTGGTTCGCCAGCGAAGCAAGCAGACTTTGTCTCGCTGGCTAGTATCGTATTTGTGCCGCTTATCAGGCTAAGGGCAAAGCCTCCCTGAGGGGTTGAAGGCTCACTCGTCAGGGACAGTAGCCGCATCAAAAGCTTTTTGCATCGGGCACTCCCATTGAAGAGATCTGCTCACGCTATTTGGAGCCGCCAAGCACGCTTATACGCCATTATCAGCTCGATACGCATTCCTCGTGTCGCAAAAACTTTGGTCGTATTGTTCTCTCCAGTGGACAGTGTCCTGCCACCCTGACCGAGTGAGTCTTGGTTTATTGGTTTGTTTTGACGCTTACTGTACAATAAGATTCCATTATTGACATGTCTGCTAATGTGAGCTCACTCAGAGAACCTGTACCCCTTTCGATTCTTCACGGAGTTACTGTATCGTTAGTGAGTGGTATTTTGTTTTCCCCACGGTGCTCTCATGAAAGAAGCCACTTAGTGGGTCGGATTTCGTTGATATTCGCATCACGCAGCAATGTCTCATTATGCTAGAGGTCGCCTTTTGAGCACAAATCCTCCCTGTCAGTTCCCCTCCCATAATGCTTCTCGCTGAAGCTTAAACTGGGTCGAAAGTGACAGGTGAGTGTTATGGCGTCTGTTCAATTTTTTCCATGATACGATCGCTATATTTTGAGTGTGCTTGGACAGAATTCCCTCCTCCCTGGCCTCCGGTCTTTGGGAGTCTGTGTTTATGCATAATATGTACCCCAAGGGATCGATCTCTCTGAAAAGAATTAACCAAACCTGCAGAGGTTTTCAATTCTTTGAAGAGAGTCGCCCTTGGGGTAGGGGCCTCCACCTCCCCGCAATTCTGTTCACTGATAAGAATTCAGCAGAAGGAATGATGATACGGGTCTAGGAGCCTACCCAGTTGAGCGATGCTTAAGGGAGGTAACTCCGCGAGGTAGGGTCCGTGATAATAAATAAAAGAGTTTATTTATTGTACAATCTTTTATTCAAAAACATTGATACAACTGTCACAGGACATTTTTCAGCCGGAAAATGCATAATATGTACCCCAGTTTCTGCTCCTTACTTCAAAGAAAACATTAAGTGTTCTTTGACTGAAATATATGCAGCCTCAAACAAATATCCCTGATCTATCCCACTCTGAAAATTAATTGGGGCGGTGGGGTAGCCTAGAGGTTGAAGCGTTGGCCTCGTCACGCCGAAGACCCGGGGTCGAATCCCCTCATGGATACAATGTGTGAAGCTCATTTCTGGTGTCCCCCACTGTGATATTGCTGGAATATTGCTAAAAGCGGCGTAAAAACCAAACTCACTCACTCACTCACTGAAACTTAATTGCATGTTTCTCCTAAGTGTGAGATATTCATCTCCTTAGGAAGTCTGTTTTAGAATATAGAACAAAAGATTACCCATTCTTAACTATCCTCAGAAACAAATTCTGTTTGGTGTACTCCTTTACAAGAGTTAGTATTGATTTGGAAATTGTGCTCAGCTACTCAAACAAACCGTGTCTGTGTGTGTTCCAGGAGGAGGTAGATCGAAGCCAGGTGATGGTGATCTCCGTGAAGGCCATCACAGCCCTCCTTCTGCAGTCAATCCTCATCCCAATTGCCGGTAACCCTGGCAACAGCATGTTTGAAGTCCAGCCCAGAGATAAGCCCCTGGCCTTCCTGCACACACGGTATGTTTCTCTTCTTTTACGCCATCACCTTTAACCTCTGACATGTCCTATGAACTCTTCACACCACTTGGTGACATGCCCAGTGAAGATTCATGTTCAAATTGGTCTTCAACATGATATGATATGATGATGATATGATAGGATATTTATATACGCACATATCCACACAACTAGTACATGCTCAAGGCGCTTGAGTGTTCCCTGGGGAGTATTCAACTCATGAAGCCTGTTAGGTGCAGCGAGTTATCACTCAGCCTCATCCTCACAAGGGGCGGTGGGGTAGCCTAATGGTTAAAGCGTTGGCTCGTCACGCCAAAGACCCGGGTTCAAATCCCCACATGGGCACAATGTGTGAAGCCCATTTCTGGTGTCCCCTCGCCGTGATGTTGCTGGAATATTGCTAAAAGCGACGTAAAACCAAACTCAGCCTCATCCTCACAAAGTACCCATTTGCAGCTGGGTAAACTGGAACACATATAGTCACAGTATTTTGTCCAGTGATACTGCACGTTACTGAACTAGGTGTCTGCACGTGTTCGTGTGTCCACCATCTGGTCACCTATCATCGGATGAATGGGTTCTTTTAAGTGCACAGGGTTGTGTACTGCACATTAGGGGTTGTGACAACACTGAAAGAGCCTGCAAGTAATGTTTGCTCCAAGATTTTTACACCCGGTCATAAGTGGGGATCGATCCAGGCACCTTTGCTTACAAGTGCGGTGCCTTAGACAGCTCGCCGACAACACTTGTTGTATGAGGCGACTAACAGGATCAGTTTATCAGGCATGGTGACGTGGTTTATTGCATGTCATTATATCTTATTTTCAAAAGTCAGTGCTCATGTTGTCAATCACTGGATTGTCTGCTCCAGCCTTTACACAGACTGCTCTGTTACAGGTGAAATATTGCTATTGTGGTGGTGTTAAACAAAACATAAACAAATAAGATGGCACAATTTTGGATGGGTGTAAATATGCCATGAAGGTGTACATTATTGCTCATGCTTCCAGTCTACCCGTGAAGATCCGGGTTAGAATTGATCTTCAGTAACCCATGCTTGTCGTAAAACTGGCGACTAACGGGATCGTGTGGTCAGACTCGCTGACATGGTTGACAGATATCATTGTATCCTCATTGTGTAGATCGATGCTTATGCTGTTAATCACTGGATTGTCTGGTCCAGACTGGATTATTTACAGACCGCCGTCATATAGCTGGAATATTGTTGAGTGCAGCATTAACAACAACCACGCACGCACACCATGCTTCCAGTCTTTTGTTTTTCAGGCTCAGACTCAAATATTTGCCAGCCACTATCATGCATCTGATTCTGGCATTAAACAAACAACAACTTATCTCTGACGTGACTGCTAACAATGGACATGTGGTCTAATCTCTGACGTGACTGCTAACAATAGACCAATAGACATGTGGTCTAATCTCTGACGTGACTGCTAACAATGGACATGTGGTCTAATCTCTGATGTGACTGCTAACAATGGACATGTGGTCTAACCTCTGACTGCTAACAATGGACATGTGGTCTAAACAATGGACATGTGGTCTAATCTCTGGCGTGACTGCTAACAATGGACATGTGGTCTAATCTCTGACGTGACTGCTAACAATGGACATGTGGTCTAATCTCTGGTCTACATGTGGTCTAACCTCTGACGTGACTGCTAACAATGGACATGTGGTCTAACCTCTGACGTGACTGCTAACAATGGACATGTGGTCTAACCTCTGACGTGACTGCTAACAATGGACATGTGGTCTAACCTCTGACGTGACTGCTAACAATGGACATGTGGTCTAACCTCTGACATGTGACTGCTAACAATGGACATGTGGTCTAACCTCTGGACGTGACTGCTAACAATGGACATGTGGTCTAATCTCTGGCGTGACTGCTAACAATGGACAATGGACTAACAATGGACATGTGGTCTAACCTAACAATGGACATGTGGTCTAACCTCTGACATGTGACTGCTAAACAATGGACATGTGGTCTAACCTCTGTGTGAAACAATCATGTGGTCTAATCTCTGACGTGACTGCTAACAATGGACATGTGGTCTAACCTCTGACGTGACTGCTAACAATGGACATGTGGTCTAATCTCTGACGTGACTGCTAACAATGGACATGTGGTCTAATCTCTGACGTGACTGCTAACAATGGACATGTCGTCTAATCTCTGATGTGACTGCTAAGCAATGGACATGTGGTCTAATCTCTGACATGACTGCTAAACAATGAACATGTGGTCTAATCTCTGACGTGACTGCTAAACAATGGACATGTGGTCTAATCTCTGACGTGACTGCTAAACAATGGACATGTGGTCTAATCTCTGACGTGACTGCTAAACAATGGACATGTGGTCTAACCTCATTTTGCAACTTTTGCAGGTGTGGCAAGAAACTGTCAATGATTCGTGGTCTGATAGAGCAAGAAATCCAGAACCTCTGTGCTGCCAGGTAGGTTTCAAATAAAGAATTCAAGAATCTGTTGGCTGCCAGGAAGGTTGCAGATAAATAAAGAGTTGAGGAATCTGTTCCGCTGCCAGATTATGGAGTGTTGGCACATGCCACAGATCATCTGAATGTTGGAGAGCATTGTAGAGACTGATATCATTCTAACTTATTACTGTAGATGAATGAATTTGTTTTTTGAGAGGTTAACACATTGGTTTGAGATTAGATTAAATGGCTGACCTCAAGTTAAACAACTTTAAAGGACTGGGTTCCAGAGCTCCAGATAAGATTTAACTCATGTGGGTACTGTACCACTGTATTTTTTTCGAGTGGGTATTATGAATGTTGAGTGGGTATTTCATTTTCCGTTACCCACTGCTTTCAAATATGTGCGTATTTCAGTCATTTTACTCACCTAAGTATTATGTGACTGAGTAAGTTTACTGAGCAGATATGTTCTGCCTTATGTCGTACCTAATCAAAACCAACTTAAATATAATGGAAATGATTACATAAAAAATCACTCATCCTATACTGACCGTACAACACTTGTCCTATACTAACAGTACAACTTGATAGCAATCAATGTCTTTTTCATTACGCAAGCAATTTTTATAAATATATTCCGTACGCATTTGTTTTAAACTTTTTGCGTATCTAACATTTTAAATGCGTAATTGGTACGCAACAATTATTTTTCAATGCGTAATTAGAAATTTTATATGCGTATTTTACCTGGATACGCAGCTTATCTGGGCCTCTGGGGTTCTACATTGACAAACTTTATGGTTAACAACTTGTTTTATTAACATTTGATACAGATCCTTGTACTGTTGTCAAGTAGTTTTGTCAATATTGTACTTCTCAACATCTCAAGTGTCACTCAAAGAAATGACTGGGTTCTATCTTCACACTTTCTATAGTGTACCTTGTGTCAGTCTAATCATCTTGATAAATCTTTAAGTCAGATGATGATGAACACATATATGCTTGTATTAAGTATCACCATAATACAGTTGTGTAGTGAACATGTTTTTGAGGGTGAATGTCCTATACAAATGTCCCTTATTCCTTCAGACCAGATCGGCAGTCTCACCATGCGTATGCTGGTTACCGTCGACGAACAGACTCTCTACACTGTGATCTGTTTGAGGACAACCTGGAACGTGAGACAGGGATGGAAGACTTTGGGCTAGGACAGGTATGTAGATATTTCAGGGCTGCAGATTATTTTTCAGGTCATTGATTATTTACTCACATCTTTGGGTATTTAAAACACTTATACTCCCATGGGTACCATTGGTTTGCTGTTCCTTAACCAATGAGTAAACCTTTGCTAGAAAAGATTCTAGATAAGTTTCATGTGACTTCTTTTTTGCATCCAGTGCTTCCCTACATGTGTCTCATGTCGCAATACCAATGTATATGTATATGGGGTCCCTTGTTACATTATTACATGACCCATGAAGATCCACGTTAGAATTGGTCTTCAGTAACCCATGCTTGTCGTCAGAGGCGACTAACGGGATCGGGTGGTCAGATTCGCTGACTTGGTTGACACATGTCATCGTATCCCAATTGTGTAGATCAATGCCCATGCTGTTGATCACTGGATTGTCTAGTCCAGACTCAATTATTAACAGACCGCCGCCATGTAGCTGGAATATTACTGAATGCCACGAACAAACAAACAAACATTATTACACACTAAATGATTTTGTATTGTTTGTTGATACCATCTGGTAAGTTATAACTGGTAGATTCAAAACCTTTCTACACTCACTCACCCTAACACAATAATGTTGTAATAGTGGCACAACTTTTCGCAATAGTATATCAAAATTGTCTCAAAGAGCTAGCCATCAGTATCAGACCCTTTACCACCATGTTCTGCATCCTTGTCCAGATCTCCCTGGAAGCCATATGGTCAGTTGTGGGGACACTTGAAACCAACATGTCTGAGTCAGACACGACTGACTCAATGGACAGTCCGCTCCAGGAGCAGGTGCGAGCCAACATTCCACTCTCTCCCATCAAGTCGCAGGAGAGGTCAATCACGCTGAGCGGCCTGGACATCCACTCCTGCCTGCAGTTTCTCCTGGAGCTGTACACGCCATGGCTGGCCTGTGATTCCAACTCCAGACCACCTCTCATGCTCATCAACGCTGTCGTTGAGTCGGTAAGACCAGGATTGCATAGCTTCCATCACTGTTAGGGTTTAGTTCATCCCCATTGGTATATACTATAAGTATATATACAAGTGCAGATATAGCTTATGGAAAGTAGATGTCCACAGTAACTTCTTTGTGTGGCATTTCTAGAAGTATGGGAGTCAGATAAGGACAAAGCGTTATGGATGAACAACTATATTCAGGTGATGCAACGTTTCGCTCCAGATTCTTGTATCGTCAAGCAAGTGATAACGATACAAGAATCTGTATCAAAATGTCGCATCACCTAAATAAAGAAGTTGTTCATCCATAATGTTTGTCCTTATCAGGTGTGCACATTGTTATTTGGAAATTCAGTTTTAATAGTTGTGTATGATGTTCAAAATAGATCACAAGACACCTGATGTATAATAGTTACTCGAAACATGCTCTGTCACTTCTTGTCATTTACCAATTTTTCTGCATGAATCAATGATGTAACAGAACCTTCTTCTGAAATAACATCCAAGGGCTCACAATGTATTATGAATTTAATCTGAGTTTTTACAACAGTCAAAGATATGTGGGCAGTGAAGAGTATGAGTGCTGACAATCAGAATGATTTGATGGTGTGATGACACATACTTTATTGAATTAGTCCATCTGCTCTTCCTGTCATGGCAGGATCAAGGAACTGAAGATAAAGTTCATTTGTAGATCGTGCACCTTTCTGACTCCTATAATGTTAGATTAATGAATGCTCCCCCTAAATCACCTCTTGAATAATTGATTAATGAATACTCCCCTCTTGAGTTTGTTGCTGTCTGACGCCTGTAAGAATGAAATAATGAATGCTCCCTTCAAGATTGTGTGCCTGTCATACCTCATCTCTGTATTACTGTAATAATGAATGCTCTCCTCCAAGTTGTTAGCCTGTCTTACCTTGACTCCGTAGTAATGGAATAATGAATGCTCCCCTCCAGATTGTGTGCCTGTCTGACTTGTTCATGGAGCGAGAACAGTTTGAGCTAATGCTGGACACACTGTTGGATGTCCACAAGACACACCCCTCAGAGGATGAGCTTGTCACTCAGTATCTCAATGTCGGCATCTGTAAAGCTGTTGCTGTGGTCGGTGCAGTGAGTATTGTTGTTGTCTCAATAACGCTGTTCTCTTTAAGTGACTGTCACGTGATATTTCAAATTACGGTATTGTAAATGGGCTTCTCACAAAGATTTTCATCAAGAAATGATTTCAATAGTAAATTTCATTTACTCCACTCATGACCAGTCCTTGAATTGCCCAGGGCCTTGATTTTCTAAGCTCTCTTAGTGCTAAGATAGTCGTAAGTTAATGTTAAAGTATGGCACTTACGACTCTCTTAACGCTAAGAGAGCTTCGAAAATCTAGGCCCAGGGCACTTATTCTCGAAACTTTCGAAAGCCCTAAGAATTCTTAACTTGATCGTAGCCAGTGTGTTAAGAATGGGCTTAAGAAGTCCGTAGGGCTTAAGAAGTTTCGAGAATAGCTAGCCTGGTTTTAAATGTGTTTTGTATTTTGTGTTTCTTTAAAATATCTGAATATGTCGCCTCTTGTGCAGTGTTAATAAATTGTTAGTCTTGTCGGTCTTGCAGTAAAATATATGGTATACTGCATTTATATTGGGGTAATCAATATTATATAACACAGTCCTAAATTGGTTTGTGTCCACCTTTCATTTCCATAACACTGGACAGATTGATTTGTTTTAACATATCTCAATAATAATCTTTATGAATTGTTTTCTTGCCGTGAAGATTTCACTTAAGAACTTTTCTCTTCCTATTTAACCAGGATAGCTCCATAGCCGAGAGAGTCGTGAAGCTTATTGATGTTGGTCTGAAGAGCACACACCTCCCCAGCAAAGTCTCCACATTACATGGCATGCTTCATTTACTAGAGGCTAACATTGCTGATCTCACCAAGAATATACTCCCCTTAGTCACAGACTTCCTGCTCAAGCACCTGTCAGCAGTCAGCAAGTAGGTTCATGTTGTCAGGGGGGTACTTAGGCTTGTTTCAATACTGTTGTCGATCTCAGTGTTTTAGGCCTGACTGAAAACAAAGGAATACTTTTATGTGTATTTTTGTTTTATGGTTAATCCTGCTCTTAACATGGATAGTATATGTTTAAGTACAAGATATTGACTGTATATGATTCTGAGTTTGCATTGCCTCATTTTATTGTCGATTATAATACTGTTCTCTGTTGATGGTGTCCTGGTGTATTTGACAATATTCAGTTAGTTTATGGTGTCCCTGGTTAAAGTTGGCTTGACAAGGATTCAATCCCCACATGGGTAAATGTGAAGATTTCTGGTGTCCCCAGCCCATGATGTTGCTGGAATATTGCTTCGGCGTTAAACCAAAACTCAGTCAGTCAGTCAGTCCAGTTTATGAATATTCTAGCCTTGTTCAACAGTTTAGATCTTGTGTCGCTGTCATGGTTTATTGTGTCAATATTATGGCTTCTATCACTGCTCATTCTGTGTTACTTGTATTATGTTTCAGTGCCTGCATCACAAGTCAGCAGTTTGAACTGACCATGTGGGCTGTGGCATTCTACGTGCTGGAGAACTACCATGATGATCTTCGTGATGCAGAGTTTCCTAGCAAAATGCTCTCGGTGGGTATGAGTATTTGATCCTGAAAATACGTTGACAAAAAGTACTTTACTAGGGGAAGCCTTTGTGAACAATAGTTTTACCAAATGTTTCTCAATCATTAGACCTGTTACTTATTACATGTTATCTACAGTGTTGATTTCTTGCATCTTGGGGGCGTTGGGGTACAGTGGTTAAAACATTTGCTTTCCATTCTGAATACCTGAGTTCGATTCCCCTCATGGGTACAATGTGTAAAGCCCATTTCTGGTGTCCACCTCCGTGATATTGCTGAAATATTGCTAAATGTGGCATAAAACTTAACTCACTCTCCCACTTTTTCACTCACTCACTCCTCACTCACTCACTCACTCACTCACTCACTCACTCACTCACTCACTCACTCACTCACTCACTCACTCACTCACTCACTCACTCACTCACTCACTCACTCACTCACTCACTCACTCACTCACTCACTCACTCACTCACTCACTCACTCACTCACTCACTCACTCACTCACTCACTCATCCCTCCTCACTCATCCTCACTCACTCTTTGGCTCCCATCCCTACTAATAGCAGGTCTTACAAAAGGCTCTTCTGAGGTTGCAAGGAGGACACATATTTTGACAAGTGATAAATACCCTGAATATGAATACACAAAAATTATTCCAACACTGTTTGGTTTACAGTAGGTGCTGTTATACATACCACACGTAAAACTTTGTAAATTACATGCCCATATGGGTACAAAGTGTTAGACCCATTTCTGGTGTCCCTTGATGTGATATTGCTGGATTATTGCTAAAAGCTGTGTAAAACTCTTTCAGCTTGCTGTGAGCACAGCATCCGGGAGTGAGGACAGTGTTTCAACAGCCGTGTTCCTCACGATCATGAAGGGAACAGAGCGCCTGCTGTTGACTGATGTCCTCTCTCGGGGCGACATGGAGACAATCATGAAGTTGAGCATGGACAGGTAGGAAAGAATTGAATCTATTGAATAACATTTGTTAAACCATTGTGTATATGTCATTGTGGGTAGTCTAGTGGTGAAAACATATGACCTGGTTTGGTTCCCGACATTCATACAAAGTGTGAAGTCCATTTCTGCTGTGCTCCACAAAGATATGGCATGAATATCGTCACAAGCATTATAAGATGATACTCACTTTCACATTTCAGAAAATATCAATTGCGTAACTTGGTTCTACATTTCTTGCATCTACATTCCAGGTTGTGTCTGCCGAGTCCCCAGAGGGCGCTGGCAGCACTGGGGCTCATGTTCACCTGCATGTATTCAGGTAAGTTTATTTGTGTTCAAGACTCATACATGAAGAGATCACTCATTTACTAAATATACAGCATTATTACACATTGTTACACAAAGCACATGCTTATGTGCTGTTGGAACTAGTTTTGAAGAATGTTCAAACTCTGAACATCGCTGGGCTTATTCTGTTGCATTGCACAAAGAAATGAAAGATCACTGAGAGGAGCTTGTGCCCATGCGATGACATCAGCATTTTTTCAGTACTCTGCTCCTGGATTTCACTGACTCGCTGACTCGCTGTTTATCTTGCCTATCCACACCTGTTGTATGCATCTGTCTTGTAAGCAGGTAAAACTCTGTGTTTCAGGCAAGCAGTTTGACCAGTACAGCCCTCGTCCTCGTGATGAGATGGAGCCAGTATTCTCAGACAATGGCTTCACATTCGTGTACCAGGACCCGGAATCTCTCATCCTGGCCATGGAGAGGGTCACAGTGCTCTTTGACAGGTGAGATATGTCTGGAATCTGTGTCTTCATGAGGAATCACCACAGTCCTTTCGTCCTCACTGTTTAGCAATTGTATCATGATTACTTGAAACCTAGGTACGTTTTTTTCAGACTTGACATCTTACCCTATTCCTATTATTTAGTATATTTTTCTAACCTTGTACAGAATCAAGAAAGGCTACCCTTATGAGGCACGGGTGATTACACGTCTCCTCCCAGCATTCCTAGCTGACTTCTTCCCACCACAAGACATCATGAACAAAGTGATCGGGGAGTTCCTCTCCAGCCAACAACCCTACCCACAGCTCATTGCCAAAGTCGTCTTTCAGGTAACTAGTCTTGTCTCCTTATCTTTTTTATTGAGGATTCAGAGAATGTTTCTCTTTATTTTTCCGTTAATAATAGTGAAAATGTTGTTAATCTTTCTTTCAGTGTAAATCAAAATGTTTCTATTTTTAGATGTTACCTATTCTAGGAGTGCTGTTTTGTTTCTAGTACAATGAAAAAATATTGACATCATGTTTATGAATTTATCCTCCTGTACTGAGTAAAGATTGAAACAATTCATGATTTAGGTTTGACTTAATTTGATTATGTTGTAGGTATTCAACAACTTACATCAGCAGAACCAGCAGAGCCTGGTGAGGGACTGGGTAATGTTGTCGCTTTCCAACTTTACACAGCGATCACCTGTTGCCATGGCAATGTGGAGTCTCACCTGTTTCTTCATAAGTGCCTCCACCAATCAATGGCTCAAAGCTTTGTATCCTTAAGAACAGAAAGAGTGAAATAGTTGTATAGAATTACATACTCATCAAATTTGCAAAACAGAAACTGCTGACTGGCTTAAAACTCATACATTCTACATTTACATTTGAAGTTAAAAGTTCACTCAGGGTTCTCCTGGCATGACTTCTTAATGTTTGTCAGATCTTGCTGGAGACTCATCCATCCAACCAACCATCCTACCAGTCATCCTTCCTTTCATCCATCCATCCATCCATCCATCCATCCATCCATCCATCCATCCATCCATCCATCCATCCATTAGTTCATTCAACCACCATCCATCCATCCATTTTCATTCATTCATTCATTCATTCATTCAACCATCAGTTCATTCAACCATCCTCTCATCCATCACCCATCTTTCTGTTCACCCATCTAACCATCTATCCATCCTCCCTCCCTCCCCTCATCCATCCATCCATCCATCTCCATCCATTTTATTCCATTCATCCCATCAGTTCATTCATTCCTCTCATCCATCATCTCACCCATCCATTCATTCATCCTCCATCATTCAATCCATCCATCATTCATTCATTAATTCATTCATTAAACCATCCTCTATCAAACCATCCTCTCATCCATCACCCATCTTTCTGTTCCCCTAACCGTCCATCCATCTATCCATCCTTCTATCTATCCACCCATCCATCCATCCTGTAATTTGGCCAAAATACTGAATGCTGCCTACAGCTGTATTTGACTTATATGTACTCTATGTTTCCCTTAACCTTTGACCTCAGATTTCCACATGTGATTGGTCGGATGGGTAAGATGGAGACGATAGACAGGAAGTTGTTCTGTCTGGCAGCCCTTGACTTTAAAAGCCAGCTGAACGAGGACCTCCATGTGTTTGTGTCGACATTCCAGGCAGTGGCACAGCCAGACTCCCCGTATCAGGATCTTGTCAAGTGCCTCACATAGCACCTGGACATGTGGCACAGCCAGAATCCCAGTACAGGATCTTGAGAACGATCTAGCATCTGGGAGGTGGTGGCACAACTCAAATCTGATACCAAGGCCATGTCAACTGCCACAAACAGCACCTGGAAGCAGTGGCACAGTAACATGATCTTGGGAACAGCCTTGCACAGCACCTTGAATCTGTGACACAGCCCAAACCCTAGTACCGGGATCTTGTCAACTGCCCCAAACAACACCAGGAGTGGGTCGCAGCGTAAACCCTAGTACCAGGATCTTGGGAACAGCCTTGCACAACACCTGGAGTCCCAGTTCCCAGTACCAGAACAGCAGTTGTTGACAGCCAGACGCCTAACTGGAGGTAGTGGGACAGCAGAACTACCGGTACTAGGATCTTTGGAACAGCCTCACGCCTAACTGGAGTCTGTGGCACAGTCCAAAGGATCTTGTCAACTGCCTCACATAGCACTTCACACTGTGTCAAGCATTTAATGTAAAGTTTTAAGTGACTCTTTTTTTGCCATACGTTAATGCAGATTAAAACTGTAGCATTTCTGTTATTGTAGCCATTTATGTATATTTTTGTAGTGGACCAAAGCTTAATGTGATATCAACACTAGAACTACTGGTGGTCTAGTTATTGTGGCGGCCAGACAGGCAGGGTGGAGTCCGGGACCAGAGGCATGCTGTGAAGGGTCTGTGCGAACAGTTGCATCTAAAGGATGTCATGGCAAAACATACACGTATTATTATGTACAGTCGTGCCCTGTTTATCCGAACACTTGTGTTTTTCTTGAAATTGTTCGGATAAACAAATTTTCGGATATCTGAACCGAGGACCATATGGAAAAAGACAGACAAACACCGGCCGGCTTGTAACCCTTGTTTCATGTTAGGGCACGCAAGGCCACTCGGTAAAATGCGCGTGTAAACATACTGACAGGTGCTCAGCAATCCGGATATACGAGAAAAAAATGCATATGATTTAGCATTTGGTGTGTGAGAATGACCGTCCGGTTACGGAAACCGGATTTCCGGTTAAGTGAGTAGTTTTACAACGTTGTGAATTCGTTTTAATGAATTTTCATTCGGAAGGCGAGTTTTCCGGATATCTGAGGTTCGGATAAACGTGGCACGACTGTATATGATTTTCATAGTTTTCATATACATAGTTTAACATCATAGCAAAGTGTGACCCTAATGAACAAGCATGTTGCAATGATAGTCCGACAGATGGTACGGGATTTAGTGAGGTCACATAGTACTACACACTTGTGTGACAAGTGTAGGAATCCCTGTCAATCTCTGTAATCATGATAATTAATAACATACGCTAGACTTAAATAATTAAGCAAAGTTGCCAAAAGAAGCGCAGAATATAAGAAATTAACAGAATGTAACATGAAAAGGAAAGCGTCAGTCCTAATGTGTATGATAGCAGTGGTTTGTCGATTGATGAGGTTCAAGCCTGTGACTCTTGGCAAGGATTTACGGAAGCCGTATTTAGACAGCTTCATTACCAGAAACTGCATGATAGCCAGACCATCTGTTTTCTACTCACCATGACCAGTAACTTATGTATTGATGTGTTATAAATGTAGGCTTTAGGTTGTTATGCGCATATCATATTGCAGTCATACAGCTTAAGTAGGTGATGCCACTTTACGATACTATTGTAAAACATGGCAAACAGTTCAGTCCTCGTACACGTCAGTGTATTGTGGTTTGATACGGCAATTCTGACAGTGTTGTTGTCAAACCTTCATACATCACTTTGTTCCTCTGTCACCTGTCAATACATATAGAGGATACTAAACAACCTTCCGTGTAATACCAATTTTATTGAACGAGTTAATGATATGGTATCAAACGAGCGAAAGCGATACTAAATCTTTCACGAGTTTAATAAACATGGTATTTCACGGAAGCAAGTTTAGTATTCTGTTTATTACTCTCCAACATAACTGCCTTCAGTGTGATGACTCTCATATCAATTTTCCGCGAGTCAAGCAAGGTCTAATACCATTACGACAGGCATTAGCATTGTGACGTCATAACTGTAACCATTATGACGTCATATGTCTACCGGTATTACACTAGTATAATGTTTCCGTAAAAATATTACACTGCAGTATCTTCCACGGGCGAGTAATAAACAGATGATAGAGTGTTTCAGCGATCTGTGTCTTGTGCGTCAGGTCATTGATGAGCAGGGTGTAACTCATGGAAGTCAAATGAACCCATCTCTGTAATGAACACTGTGCCAACACTACCATTTCCTATTATTTAGCAACGTGTGGAGTGACTGACTACACGATTAGGACGAGTTTGTCAATGTATTGCCTGCGTTCGCTGATCTGAACACTCACTGGTTTTGCTCTTGCTGGGACAGGGCCATGGCTTGGTATATTGTGTGAAGTGGCCATTTGTATTCCTGGATGATGGAGGAAAGTAGTGAGGATGACATTGAGGATCGGTGACATGTCAGAGCAATTCTCACCTTCTGCAGTGGAACACTGGCCATCTTGTTTATTTACTGGTTTGCTCTTGCTGGGACAGGGCCATGGCTTGGTACATTTTGTATAACAGCCATTTGTATTCCTGGACGATGGAGGAATGCAGTGATGATGACAGGTTGGCGACATCTCAGCGCAATTCTCACCTTCTGCAGTAGAAGACTGGCCATCTTGTTTATTCACTGGTCTGTTCTGAATGAGTGTCAGGCCAAAGTGGTCAGTTCCAGTTTGCCAGAGAGTGAAGTCGTTAAGCCCCTTATTATTACTGATGTTAAGGGTAATAACTTTTTTCTCAAATTGATCTCAGAGAACAAGAACAGGTATCTCAAGGTGTATGAGAACTAAGTGTAAATGTACATTTTGATGTATTTTAATGGAGATGTGTGCAAGCTTGCGTGTTTTGATCCATGTCTTATAACAAAGGTGGATGTACAGAAGTGATCTTTCAATATGATTCCAGGGAGTGCTGTGACCTCTGTAACAGTTTGGAAAGTGCATAATAATCTCTTGGTTGTGGCTGAAATATTGCTGATATACCTAAAGGCAATATCACACCTTCCCAAGACTGAAGTAAGAAAGACTTAGTAATTACTTTTGTAAACTAAAAAGGTATAGGTTAGGGTTCAAATCCAGGTTAAGGAGCCTTGTCATGCATATTTAACACTTTCAGTGAAAAAAATATTTCAGCTTCATTTAAAGGCTTGTTAATGAATTTGCTAGAACAGATAACTATTCATCACCTTTTTAGCTCAAACAATGTAATACACTGTGATTGTATATATTTGTTACATGGTATTTAAGTGTCATGTAGGTGGTACCTGTCACATCAGCTCAGAGGGAGCTTTGTACTGTGAGTGGAACATAAGTCAGCTGGTGTGGGCAGTGTTGTGAGTGGTTGGTGTGACTATGAACTGTGTTGTGGAGCATCCAGGGTGATCTGATTCTAGGTATATGTGATGTAATGTACAAAGTTTCCCTTGTATGTATTACAGCACCTACTTTAAACCTAACAGTGTTGGAACCATTTCTGTTTAGTCTTGTTCAGGGTATTTATCACTTAAGGTATTGTCAAAATATATGTCCTCCCTGCAACCTCAGAAGAGCCTTTTGTAAGGACCTGCTATTAGTAGGGACAGGAGCCAGGAAGAAAGAGAGTGAGTGTAGTTTTACGCCGCTTTTAGCAATATTCCAGCAATATCACGGCGGGGAACACCAGAAATGGGCTTCACAAATTGTACCCATGTGGGGATTCAAACTCAGGTCTTTGGTCTGACGAGCAAATGCTTTAACCACTGGGCTACCCCACTGGAGCCAAAGAGAATCAAACAGGGACAGGCTCAGGGCATTGATAGGTTATGAATGTACCTTACAAAATTTATACAGAGTTACCAGAAATATACAAAAATAATCCCATTTTAACTTATTGCAGTTTTTATGAAGTTTTGTTATAAATTATTCTTGAAACTTGACAAGCTCTCTGAGGATCATGAAAGAGTGACACAATTAGGCTAATTATCTATTTTTGTATCCTTGGAAAACATTCACAGGCCTGCTAATGGAGGTTTCACCTTCTTGATACTGCCTTGCTAGATCTAATATGGGATTGACGATAACTGTGTGTTTAATTAATGCATAATCCCTTCACTGCTGCAAATAGCATGTTTGCCTATCTTGGGCGCACTGGGTGGTGGCCATTGATTCATGGATTGCTGTAGGCAACGACTTAAGCCCAGAGCATCCTGGTCCTGGGTGATGCCTGTGCTTGAAGTGATGGTCAGGCTCAGTGTTGTGGTTGATTACTTGTCATCTTGCCTCAGTGGCTTGGGTTGTTGCTCATGATGTCAGTCACCGGATTGTCTGGTCCATCTTGATTATTTATAGACTGTCAGCAGATAGCTGGAATATTGCAGATTGTGATGTTTAACTTATCACCCACACACACTATGCCACATCATGCTGTGGAAAGCCACTCCACACACTTCTTAAAATAGGAATCCATTTGACACAGTAATGTATGGAGTTCCAGTAGCCATAGCACGACAGTGAGAAGGATATCACAACTGTTGCTTTAGCAATTCACGTTACTGAGGCCGTTTCCAGGAAATTGTATTGTTTGTTCAATGTTTATACATATTGATATATGCTCTTCTGTTATTTTCAATGTACCCCGCTTACAAGCGAGTAACATTTCAATGTACCCTGCTGTCAATGGCAGCTCATTTGGTACTTCATGGTAGTAATTCTTTATCTCGAATTACATTGAATCACGTATGATGTACGGAAATTACCGATGTTTTGCGAATGCAAATCGATTGAAGGGAGATAACTCTAAATCTGTTTTTCTTGTCAGCAAAATCTAGCGATGGCTACAAAAAGAGTTGTACCCATGCTCCAAACAATTCAAAATTAACATTAAGGTGTTCGGTAAGATAAATACGTTGTTCACTGGTCCCTCGGGGCCCATGGGTTGATGTACCCTCCATGTTTGTTTATGTTCCCTGAGGCCTTCATAAACAAACATCCAGGGTACATCAAACCATGTCCCCCTCATGACCAGTGAACAACTTATAATGTATAAACGTTCAATGTTTATACATATTAAGCAGATCAATTTCCTGTAAATGAGTTTTCACAAAACTTTCCTCACATCACAGATTCATGATCTCCCCAGACAGTTGGTATAACTGTAATTATTTTCAGTAGATTATGTTTTCTGTAAAAGTTGTCACACAAATTTCTTTCAGCATATCCATCTGTATGTTCTACTGAGGTACTTTTCTTGGAATGATTGTGTTACTCAGATTTAATGGTTGTGTCAGTGTAAAAACATATTGGACATTACAGTACACTAAGTTGTATTGTCCATCCTTCATTATCCAATATTATATCTCCATTTTATCAGGATTATTACACAGGACATTTCATAGGGATGTATTCAGAAGCCAAACTATTAAATCCAATCAGATTACACTCTCGCAAGGGAGATAATACTGTGCCAAGTTAGTAATGTTCCACAAAGATTGGTAACATTACATCAGAATGGACGTTTTGGAGGCGAAAGGTCCAAGGTATCAATGATAATTAAATGAAAACGCAATTACACACATAACCCAGGATGGTATTTATCAAACATTTCATAACAAATGTCTACATTTTTAAGTCCCTTTGTAAATGTGGTTATTTATTCAGAATCTAAGATTAATTAGCATACGGACAATGTATGCGCAGGGGTAAATTGTCTTTCACTGTTAGTGCTCAATGCTTAAGTGTAGTGTCATTTTGTAAGCATCACTTTTAAGACCATGTGGCCTCAAAATGGACAAAAAAAGCAATCATGATGATGATTTGGATGTGCACTTTCTGACATGATGCGTATTTCACCCAGGAGAGGATGATCATACTGTGATGGCTCTTTTGTGGCAACATCTTTTCCTGGATTCCTAGGATGTTCCTTCCTGGCTGCAACTTTCAAGGAACCGTTGTTATCTGTATGTTTCTAAAATTTGCTATCACCCAATCATGCATTTGAGGTAGCTTCTCATAGCCAATATTTTGTAAATAGGACTGTTATATTGAGAGCTGACACATTCATGTACAGTGTAGTGAAGCTTTGTTTCTCAAGTCCATGCAAGTGAACAGTTATCTGTGTTAGTGAGCTGATCAAAGTTAAATGAAAATGGCTTACGTTTGGTGTGAATTCAACATGATGAATTAAAATATGAAGTGTTTGTATCGTGCGCATTGCTCCACCATATAAATAGTTCTGTGATGCTGGTATTGAAGTTTTGTGAAGTAGTCAGTTATATTTATCCACGAGTAACAATTCATGAAAAAATCACAAGCTTTAAGTCTGTTCATCAATAATGTTCATATCACTGCTTGAATATCTGTCAAAAATGATAATAAATAGTGTCTTATGGAAATCATGATAACATTTTGCATGTTCATTTATAACATGATCACAATGAATTACATCACAATGTCATAGCTGGAATATTCGAGGCAACTCTTAGCTTGAGCAGTTTTAAAACTTGCTTTCCCTAGCATATATATCATGTATTACAATCACCTATAATGCTTGTTGTGGAAGAAGGACTGATTATCCACAATGGAAGGTGTGAGTGCTATTCAGTGAATCTGTGACCTAAAATCATGTTTCACCTGCGCAAGTCTTAACCTCATTAATCAAACATATAGCACAACCAGTGATGTTATTCATGCACAATGTTAATTCTCTTAAATCATATTTTAAAATCACAGATCTTAGCTTGTGTTATGAGTTCTGGGTACGAGTATGTCCATATTAGCATGCAGGAAACGATGGTTGGTGTTTATTTTCTTACACAGTATGAATCTGTATGTATGAATGAAAACTAGACTAGATAAAGTATTCTCTTCTTGAAGCATTCCTGATGTATTAATGCCATTATTAAATGTGATTATATGAGATACGTATGTGCAATGTTGATGTATATATTATTACATGTGTCTTGTGAATGCATATTTAGTTATTTTGTAAATGTTTTGGAATGATGAAGTGTCGAGCTAATTTAGGAAAGCATGCTGGTAATATCTCTAGCGTCAATAAATCATATCACACTACTTCAAGTCAGACCCCAGTAGAGTCCAGATCAGAACTGGTCTTAATGTGGGTGTGTGTGGGGTAGCCTAATGGTTAAAGCGTTGGCTCGTCACGCCGAAGACCCGGGTTCAAATCCCCACATGGGTACAATGTGTGAAGCCCATTTCTGGTGTCCCCCGCTGTGATGTTGCTGGAATATTGCTAAAAGCGCGTAAAACCAAACTCAGTCAGTCAGTCTTAATGTGGGGAGACTACATGAGTGGGTGGTCATACTAGGTTGTCATGTGTTTGCACATACAGTCAAACCCTGTTGTGTGGAACTCGTCGGGACCAAGGGAACAGTTCGACTTATCCCAGTGTTCGACACATCCGTCTGCATAGAAATAAAGATAAATATAAGGAAATGGGCAGGGACCGAGAAATGAGTTTGACACAACCGAGAATTCATCTCAACTGAGTTTGTGACATTGGGGTTCGACTGTATTGTCAGTCACTGGATTATCTGGTCCAGATTCATCAGGTCACCATCCCATAGTTGGAAAATTACAATGTGCAGTATTAAACAACAAAGAAAGAACACTACTTTCAAGTCGGTAATTAATATCTCAACGCCTTTAAAATTTAGATATTTTAAAACTACTCTAGTTGATCTACATTAGTTTTACTACGGATTCATGAATACATAATTTTGTGAAAATGACATAAGAATGCATTTCCTGAATCAGCTCGACCATCCCACCTGTTGTGTTGTGGTCCTCTCACCTGTAATTATCTTTACACCTGTTTTCACCTGTAATTAACTCTCCATCTGTTCTCACCTGTATTTGTTTATCTTTATTAGGCTGTGGAATGATAGTTGTCACAGTGTTTACTATTCTAAAGCCATTGTTACTATTTCAGATGTTCCAGGTGAAAATCATTTGGCTGTGATTCTTTAGCTTATTGCCCAGTGACTTCTTGTTTACTGTTACATGTTGACATGATCTGCTTTCCACTCAAAGCTATATTACCTCATCATAACTCTCTTTATTGTTTACACATTCATATTTGGAAGCAACTGCACATAATTTATACTTGGTTATGGTTAAAGTAGCCTGCATTGTGGGTTTGTGTAGTAAGTACTATTTAATGTTTGAGGGTGAGCTAATCACTGGAATGTTGGCAGT